CTTTTCCTCGAAACCTTCGAACTCAACAAGGGCAACAACTGGCTGCGCGGGCGCGCCGTCGTCGTTGTCCTCCACCAGCTCCTGGGCGGCACCATCGAGCGCAAGGTCCGCGACGGGGCCCGTTCCCTCGTGCAGGACGACTCCCTCCTCCGGTATTTGGCCCTGGCCAAGGACACCATGTGGCCCGGCGGGACCCTGCGCCAGAGCAAAGTCCGCACCCCACCCGAACGCCTCCGCAGCCGCACCGAGGCCAGCCTTGTGCTGGCAACCTTGATCCCCGACCTGGCGGGCAACGTCGTCGGGCGGGCCAACGCGCAAGCTGCGGCCCGGCGCATCTTCGCTACCTTGAACAACCCACGGTTGAATGCACACCTGGTGTTCACGATCTTGGACGAGATCGTGCTGGTGTTGTTTGGGGGTGGGGGTAGTGGTAGTGGGGGTCCTCTTGACAGCATCGGACGCGGACGTTAGACCCACTCACTCTCCATAACTTAATGTCTCCACACTTAATGCATTGACGATGACTCGGACTGTGTTTGCTGTTGTATACTTATCATGCCCCCCACGCTGTCTTTCTGTTTCCCACCCTCCCCTTCTAATCACTCTACCGCTCTAGTTGCATTTGGGTTTAGCGGGCGCTTGGCTTGATGCATTGTCGGGCCATCTGAGGCTTTTCTCTTCTTTCCTCTCTATTGTCGTCTGCTTCCCCGTTATTGCAAATAAGCATGTTTCTTTTCTTCCGTTGTTGGTGGTTCTCTGCCTGCATCTAATACTAATACCTGTGGTTCGCACGGAATGCAATGCATGGTTATGGTCACGGGTTAGATGGATCAATTGTTTCGTTCGTTGGCGGAAGGCATCAAGGTAAATCCCGCTTTGCATCGGTATGCATAATGACCGACGGAAAGTAGAGGTACATAGAAGGTACTGTAGTTGAGGGAGTACGTACTCGTAGCAGTAGCAAGCTGAAGGTGGATACCGCGTTGTGGACTAGCGCGGAACGCTACGGCACTAGCCTGAATCTTAGCGATCGCGAGTACTTCGATAGTTACAACCACAACAGGAACCACAACTACACTACGAAATACGTGTCACGGTGGGTGATTAGCTTACGTCTTTCGCGAGAAACCCAAGCGGCTGGTTCGGTCTGGTATGGCAGTGGAGTGAAATGTGTGATTGTAAACGATGGGAAACTTGCGGATCGAGATGGATTGCACAGTACAGTAAGTTACCACCGTCCATTTCGACCCCCAGTTAATCAGTCAACTGTAAGTTGGTGGGGGTTCACTTTCCTCAGCCTTGTAACACCACGTCGGTGACCCCATGAGAGCCGAGACGCGTCTTTGACGATCGACCATAACGAAAGTGGCCACAAGATTGCACCTTGACAAAAAGAGAGAGTATCTGGAAACACGCGAAGATAGAGAGGGTTTCAAATTACAAAGGATTAGATAGCGTCTCCGTCTTGCCCCCGATTTAACTATCGATGCCTTTTGCCTTTCCCCATGTCCCCTACAACAGATAAGGGGTAGTACACAAGAGAAAAGTCAATCGGACAACAAGGAGAGGAGGGGTTAAGACAGGAGGTCATGGTAGTTCGTTACGAGAGGGTTGTGGGGAAACGGCTTCACGCATCAATCAAGCCTGGGGAGGAAGCCCTCTATGCGTCTTCGTTCTTCTTCTTCTTGGACTTCTTGCTGCTGGGCTGGGCGGGGGGACCCTGCTTGGTCTGGTGGACAATGAGGCGTGTCCAGCACTCATCCTTGTCCCACTCGAAACCTTTGAGGTAGGGATCGGTCAATACGTCGTCAGACTGCGTGTGGGTTAGTTGAGTGAGTGGATAAGGGCTGAGGACCGACGTACCTGTTTCTTGAATTGCTTGTAGATTGCGTCCAGCGCATCCTTTATCGTGACGCCCTTCATGTTGCGGGCCGTGACCTCCAGGCCCAAGGGGAAGTGCAGGTCGATCTTCTTGACCGGGGGGTTGACGAGGTAGAGTTTGAGGATGTCCTTGTCTTCGACGGTGGATGGGGAGGTGTTGAGCTTCCTGTTCGTTGACAGTGGTGAAAGGTTAGATGGAGTGGGACATGGCTTGCTTGATCTTGATGGAGGCGTGGTGATAGAACGCTTACCATCCCGTGCGTTGTGTCTCGATGGGCAGGGTCAATTCGATCTTCTTCTCCTCTGTTCGGATGGTTAGTGAGTGAGTGGGTTGGGCAGGTGAGGTTGAGAGAATGAGATACGCACCGAGTTCCTTGATGTTGTAGACGCCTTCCGCGGTGGAGGAGTGACGTCTGTGCTTGGTGTCCTTGGGTTCCTTGGTGTCCTTGGTGACCTGGACTGGTTTCTCGTCTTTGGCCGTTATCGTCAGGCCAGCGATGGCGGAGTCGACCCTGGTGAGTTCTTCCGACATGGTGGACGAGGGTATGAGTCTGGAATCACTGGCTGGTGATATGAAGAGTCGTTTGGTTAGTGATGTCGATGACGATGATGGAAGATGGGACAGAAGGAGGGTGGTTCAGATGGATGAGAATGGACTACGACTCCGAGAGCTTTAAGCTACAGAGGGGAGAGAGGATCAAGTAAGAGGAACGAGGGACAGATGGCATGGAATGAAGTCAAAGGAAATATCAGGACCAGGGTCAGGGTCGAAAGCTTACCGAACAGTGAATTGGGTGGAAGTAGCAGATGGGAGGGGATGGCAGTGGATGAGAGATGGAGAGAGAGAGTTCCAATGGATGAAGTAGGAAGAGAAGAAGAAGGAGAATGGAAGAGGCGAGGGGGAAGTCCAGGAACTTTAAGAAGAGTTGGATGGAGCGGAGGAAGAGAAGAGAGTGGAGGGTGGGCAGGTGACCGGCACTGGTTCAACCACTCCCCAGTTGGCATCAAAGCATGAAACCCCCGGGTTCCATGTCTATTGCTCCCATTGCTCCCATCAACGGGTCATCTACTGATGCGTATACTTTAGTATACCTACAATGTATAGTGTACGGTATGGTATACGCATTGTAGGTAAACATAGACCCTACCTAGACCCTACCTATACATTACAGACACTACACCATCAAAGTCATATCCATCAAAAGAAACAACCCCAACAACTTCAGCTATCGTTACACAATTCTTCCACCTCAAACCGATGCCTGGATGTCTGATCGTAAGTTGTTGTACCGGATGACAGTAGTGACTGTACTTCCATCTACATAGTAGTGAGATCACACGAGCAGCTCCTGACGTCGGAAGCGGCCACTAAGAGCTTCCCATTGAACTAAGAGCTGCACCCCGCATTCCCACCGCGGGCGGCTTTGCTCCACTTCCATCGGTCTCGTCTCATTCATTCATTCACTGACTGATAGTCTGACTGACACTGACACTGACACCGACACCGACACTGACACCTCGAACAAAGTACTTTTTTCCACTCGATGTACCACTCAAATCTATGGTTACTTCCACCCACCCCCGGTTTTTTACATGACACCACCAATCCAATTTCCAATTCTACCCTGAAACCAGAGATCTGCTCCCACCCGCTCCTCTTTCCAACCCACCCCCCATCTTCCGATTGATCATGATCATCCTTTCCCTAGAAAAAATGGATGACTTCATTGTCTAAATTGCGTGGTTTTCCATCACCAAAGTCCAATCAATTGACACCTGCTTTCCGTGGTACAGTCCACCCTTGGTTTCTGGGCAACACGTGAGCTTAAATGGGAGAGGGGGTATTACCACAACGACCACGACCACGACCACGACCACGACCATGCCCACGTCCACAAGGGACATTCAGGCAATAATGGTAAAGTGAAAGAGGGAAGGAAAGTCAGGGATGCATACTTGGTCGGGGACTGGCCCCCTCGATCAATCATGCCTGGGCGTGGTGGTGTGATGTGTGCGCTGATACCTCCCCTGGCCTGCTCCGGTACCTTCTGCGACAAGCTCCGCCCGGGTCTGGAGATTCTCCAGAATGTCAATCCGAGGTCGATCGTATGGTGAGGGAGGTCTGCCATTGGTCTGCAGACTGCCTCAACTTGCAGCACCGGGCGGGGTCTGTCGGGAGCTGCGAATCACGACCAGCGACGCCTGCGGTTTTACCCCCGATGCTGTCGCCATCCTACTTTGTCTGGCTGAGGGCGAGAGGGGGAAGAGGGGATTCTGGACTCATGGCTGGGTGCCTGTCCCGCATCTCCGTGTAGGTGTACAACGCGTACAAACGGATGAGTAAAACGATAGACTTTGAGATGGTATGGTGTTGAAGAGTGACCGTCAGCTGAGATGACTGTATAACTATCTTGTAGCTTGTACTTTGTACAAGAATTGGTCCTCATTATGAAGGACCGTACCGATATCAGCCAGCAACACAAGAACAGCATACAGAGATGGACATTGTATGAGAGCAGGGTCTCTGAGGCATCAACAGTGGAAGCGATCACTCGACCATCTGACCACCCACCGTCCATGCATGCATGAATTGATAGGTACTCCGTACCTTAGACCTAAGCAGCTCTACACATTCCGCCAGGTCACTCACTCTAGAGGGTGACCCGCACTGGCAGGCACTGCAATGGCCATCAACTGCCGCAACGGGCAAGATTGACTGAGTCAGCAGCTAGGCCGGGCGGAAGGCGGTGTGACTCGGCAGGATCGAAGATATTCGAGGATTGTCTTGGAGTCTTGGAGACAATCCGGACCGACATCGTCGAAAGAGCCTCGCTTCTCCGTCAACAATTCCAGTGCTTCGCTCCCTAGCGCCTTTTTTGGTACAACGAGCTTTGCTCCTGCTCCTAGCTTGCAAAAAGTCAAGCGAGCAAGAATTGTGGAAGCCAATTCTTTGTCTTCAGTCGCCTGAGAATCCTTACCTCCAGATTCTGCCGACCGCCAACCAAGTCATCGCGTCTGCTTTTCCTTTTTCGTCTCGCGTATCGGAGCTTTCGCTTTCATCGCCTCCGGCCAATCCGCCCTTTACCACATAATATACAACCTTCGGAGCCTCCGTCGCTATGTCGCTTTTCGGTAATGTCGGCGCTTCGTCGTCAGCAGGTGCCTCCAACACCACAGGTGACATCTCCAAGGATGTCGCCCTGAACCAACCTCCGGAAGATAGCATCTCGGACATTCGATTCTCCCCGGCCGCTGAACACCTTGCTGTCGCCTCGTGGGACAAGAAGGTGCGCATTTACGAGATCAATGAACAGGGGCAGAGCGAAGGCAAAGCTTTCTTCGAGCACGAAGCTCCTGTATTGAACTGCTGTTGGTCACCGGTACGTGAACCCGCACCCCCGTCCGCGCACTTGCTACCTAATGCCCTGCTTCCTTCGTCTCGCGCCAACTAACGCTTACTGACCCTGCCCTAGGATGGAACGAAAGTCGTCGGCGCCGGCGCAGACAAGGCGGCGCGCATGCTGGACCTGGCGTCGAATGCGACGACTCAAGTGGCGGCTCACGATGCGCCGATCCGCAGCTGCCACATGATTCCCAACCCGCAGGGAAACAGCCCGCTCCTGATCACGGGATCGTGGGACAAGACGATAAAGTACTGGGATATCCGGCAACAGACCCCGATCGCGACGGTGGAGTGCCAGGACCGCGTGTACACGATGGACGTCAAGAACAAGCTGCTGGTCGTCGGCACGGCGGACCGGTACATCAACATCATCAACCTCGACCAGCCGACCAAGTTCTTCAAGACGATGCAGTCCCCCCTCAAGTGGCAGACGCGGGTAGTCAGCTGCTTCGCCGACTCCTCGGGTTTCGCCGTGGGCAGTGTCGAGGGCCGCTGTGCCATCCAGTACGTCGACGAGAAGGACTCGAGCTCCAACTTCAGCTTCAAGTGCCACCGCGAGACCCCGCCCAACCAGCGCGACATCAGCAACATCTACTCGGTCAATGCCATCTCCTTCCACCCCGTGCATGGCACCTTCAGCACTGCAGGCAGCGACGGCACCTTCCACTTCTGGGACAAGGATGCCAAACACCGCCTCAAGGGCTACCCCTCGGTCGGCGGCACCATCTCCACCACCGCCTTCAACCGCCAGGGCACCATCTTCGCCTACGCCGTCAGCTACGACTGGAGCAAGGGCTACTCCGCCAACACCCCACAACTCCCCAACAAGGTCATGTTGCATCCCGTTGCCCAGGAGGAAGTCAAGCCCAGACCCGGTACTCGCAAGCGGTAATGATATCATCCCCTAGTAAGTCTGATGCCCGGGAAGAGAACGAAGGAGCATGGAAGGGAAGGCCCGGTGTGCAGCAATGTTTTTGGACGCATATGTGCGTGTCGGTGGGCATATCGGGGGTCGTTATCTCGAGATCCCCGGAACAAACAACAATTTCGATGTTTGAAAAATGAAACGCACGGATTATCACGGTCAGGTCTTGTCGCCCGCCCCCGCCCCCGCCCCCTCCCTACCTTTCTCCATATTTTATGTATGTCTTTTTATCATCATCTTTTCGTGTTCTGGGAATAATGCATCTGAGCGGTTCATTTCAGGTTAGAAATGGTTCTTCTTGAATTCCAAAGTCCAAAGGTAGTAGGAACGTAGTAGTAAGTCTGAGTCGTCATGGCATGAGGTAGTTTGTAGAGGACCAGAAGTTATACGGTTGCGGAGGGGATTCTAGATCTTTTGTAGGAATACTCGACATCGTTATGTCTATCATGAAGAGTACTGAATAACATCAGTGAGAGACCCATGTTAAATGCCTCGACGACTGTTGAATAAAGCAACCCCGGATGGAAGAACCCGAAAACTAAATGGGCCAAAACACCTCGGCCCACGCACACACACCTCCCTTGCCCCTACCTTACCCTACCACTAACAATGAAGGAAAACCCGAAGAGCTATCCAGGACTTTAGAAGCAAGACGACAACAGCAGAAGAAAAAAGAAATCTGGAATCAATCTGCATCATATCTCGTATCAACTCTGCGCATATGTATATGGAATGGAATGAAAAAAGGAAACAAAGAAAAAGAAAAAGAAAAAGGCTTCTAATCCAACCACACCCACAAACAGGACACAAGTCGCTCTAAAAGACTTGCAAGAAAAGAGAGACACAAAAAAAATGACTTCCTAACTTTCTTTTCCCGGCAATTCTTGAATGCTCTTTAAGGTTTGATTCGGAAGGAAGGTCATTTATGAGGTGGGAAGAGTCACCTGGGCGACACCGTCGGTGACCTTGTCGACGGCTTCGGTGGAGGACGAGGCATCGGATTTCTCAGCACCACCTTTGGCGGAGGCCTCGACGGGTTGGCCGCCAGCAGCAGCAGCCGCGGCGGCGGCAGCAGCCTCCTTGGCCTTCTTCTCCTTCTTCTTGGCCTTGGCGGCGGCGTTGGCGGCCTTCTTTGCGGCGATCTTGGCGGCTTCTTCCTCCTTCTTCTGGCGGTCGGCCTGGGAGCCGCCGAAAAGGTCGCGCCACTCGTCGGCCTTCTTGGGGTCGATGCGGGAGAAGAGGTACTGGGCCTTGCCGATCTTGTGGCCGGGCTTAACGGCGTCGGGCTTCCAGCCGTCCTTGAGGTCGTCGAGGGCGGGGATCAGACCGAAGGGGACGGCGAGCTGCTCGTTGATCGACTTGGAGGTGGCGGGGAGGTAGGGGGCGAAGACGCTGGCGAGCAGGTGGATGAGGTTGAGCACGGTGCCGACGACGGCGGCGGCGCGCTCGGGCTCGTTGGCGATGAGCGAGTTGTCCAGGCGGTTGGCCTGGATCAGACCGTTGCCGATCTCAGCCAGCTTCATGGCGCTGACGACACCGGCGCGCAGGTGGGCGCCCTCCATCTCCTCGACGTACTGGCGCAGCGTGGCGGTCACCTCGTCCAGGGTGGGCTGGAAGGACTCCGGCACGGTGAACTCGGGCACCACCGACCCGTACGAGGCGATCACCAGCTTGATCACCCGGTTGACCAGGTTGCCCAGCTTGGCGAGCAGCTCGCTGTTGTTGCTGTCCACGAAGGACCGCCACTCGAACTGCGTGTCGCCCGTCTCGGGCCGGTTCTTGAGCAGGTAGTACCGCCACACGTCGGCGGGCACGCCCGTCTGCTTGGCGTTGTTGCCGAAGACACCGATGCCGCGCGACTTGCTGAACTTGCCGCCCTCGTAGTTCAGGTACTCGGTCGTGCTGAGGTGGTGCAGCATCGTCCACTTGTCGCCCGTGCCCATCTGGCAGCCGGGGAAGATGACGCTGTGGAACGGCACGTTGTCCTTACCCAGGAACTGGTAGAGCTGCACGTCCTCCGGGTTGCGCCACCAGAGCTCCCAGTCCGGCGTGTAGTTGGCCGTGATGGACGGGTAGCCGATGCACGCCTCGAACCAGACGTAGAGCACCTTGTTCTCGAAGCCCTCCAGGGGCACGGGCACACCCCACTTCAGGTCACGGGTGATACCGCGGTCCTTCAGACCCTCCTTCAACCAGGACTCGGTGATGACACGGGAGTTCTTGGGCCAGTCACCCTTCTCGATAGCCTTAGAGGACCATTCCTCGATCTGCGGCTGGAGCTTGTCCAGGAGGAGGTGGATGTGTTTCGTCTCGCGGCGGACGGGGGTGGCGCCGTCGAGCTTGCAGCGGGGGTTGATGAGGTCAAAGGGGTCGAGGAGGTGGCCACACTTGTCGCACTGGTCACCACGGGCGTCGTCGTAGTGGCAACGAGGGCACTCGCCCTCGACGTAGCGATCGGCCAGGAAGGAGTTGTGCGTCTCACAGAAGGGCTGCTCGGCGGTCTTCTCGGTCAAGTAGCCGTTGTCGTACAGTCTCTTGAAGATGGCCTGGGAGATCTCGGTGTGCTGTTTCGTCGGGGTGCGGCCGAAGTGGTCGAAGCCAATCTCGAACCACTCGTATACTTCTTGGTGGATCTTGTTGTACTTGGCACACAGCTCCTCCGGGGTCACCTTCTCCTCCAACGCCTTGGTCTCCGTCGCGGTTCCGTACTCATCGGTACCACAGATATAGAGAGTCTGGTGTCCGGCGGCCTTGTGGTATCTAATCGACAGTCAGGTTAGATCGAAAAACCAGACAATCGATGAGCGGGGAGAGAAGAAAGAGGGAGAGAAGAGGATGAAGGACTAGACGGACCTGGCGAAAACATCGGCGCTGAGCACGGAACCAACGATGTTACCCAAGTGGGGGACGTTGTTCACGTAGGGCAGGGCACTAGTCACAAGGATATTGCGCTGACCCTTCTTAGGAAGGATTTTGGAATCGTCGGACGCCATTTTTGTGGAGGAGAGAGAAGGAGGGGGGAGAAGAGGAGAAGGAGGAGGGGAGGTGAAGATATTGGCGGGGTAAAGTAAAAGTTGCACGCCGGAGCAAAGCAGAGCAGCAGTTTGTGTCTCTGCGCCGCTGCCGGAGGATGATTCATCGCTTCTTCCGATCTTTCTTTCTCCGCAGCGCTTGCTTATCTATCTCTCCGTAACTATCGGTCTACCATATCGCTATCGTACCCTTCGTTTGATTCCGAATTATTTTTTTTTCCCTTCTGGAATGCTCTCCGCGTCAATTATTCTCCTGGATTGACTTCCTCTGTTGCGTTCTCTTTATCTACGTTCCACCTCGTTCAATTGTCTTTACCCACGACCCCCGGCTCTCCCTCTCACCCACCAGGAAAAAGAGGGCAAAATTCAATCCGCAATGGACGGTAATCTGCTTGAGAGTCTCCTGGACCTGGAGGAAGAATTCTACCAAGAAGGATTCGACCTGGGCTCCGCAGATGGCGCCTTGGCTGGCTACACCGAAGGAAGTGTTTTCGCCGTCGAGAAAGGGTTCGAAAAGTTCGTCGAGATCGGAAGACTGTACGGCAAGGCGTTGGTTTGGGCTCAGCGAGTCGCAGACTCCGACCCGTCTGTCTCTGCCAAGGCTGTTTCGGAGTCGCAAACGGAGGATGGGACGAGTGACAAACCGGGAGAAGGATTGCTGGACCCATCGCTTTGCAAGGAGATGCCAAACCTGGTGACGAGCTCCAGACTGGCCAAGAATCTCGACACTCTGCTCGAATTAGTCGATCCAGCTTCTCTACCGATGGTGAACGATGAGGAGGCCGTCAACGATGTGGACGAACGCTACAAGGGCGCTGTCATGAAAGCCAAGCTCATCCAGCGTTCGCTAGGCGAAAAGGAAGACAATTCGGATATACACCCGGACGCAAAGGAGACGCCAACTGCATCTGCAGGTGACGGAACAGGCAGCATCGAAGACATCAGCTCGTTAAGTATTCGCCATTGAGGACCCTCGTTGCTGCAAGTCCGCACTTACCGTACGACGACGGATTGTTCTGCAAGGGATGTCGCGGTTTTGCCTTGGCAACGGATCGTTTGCTTTACCAGATCGGAGTTACTCCGAATCATCTGCTCGATCTGCCAAGTTGCAACCAAACCTCTTCAAGCTAAGATCCTTGATAGTCCACAGCCTTACTGTGTTGTGGTTAGCTTGGGTGAATAGCTTCAGATACTTGGGCAAACCGCGAGGCCCGATCCCTCGCCACGCATCCCCGCAGCCGAGGTTTTCTATTGTTTTCCGGATCGTCCAACCCCCCGCCAAGTCGGCTTCTCATCCACATTTGGCTCTTCTTCACCCCCACGGAATTCTCTCGGATGCAGAGACGTGGGCTCATCGGTGTCGGTGCGCTGATCCCAGGCACCATTCCCTTTTTTGGGGCCCCACCTCTATTTGGAGATGCATAGTCCTCATCTATAAGTACCAGCCTTGGCCCGCTCAAGTCTATCAGATTCAATGCCATGAAATTGGACGTTCGGTCTTTCACCGTATAGCTGGGACTACCACTTTGTTTGTTTAGTCCGGTAGTCATCATGCAGTCGATTCTTCTATCTTTAGTCTTCCTTGCCCCCAGACTGGCTCGTGCCCAAACAGGAGTCACACAGCCCATCTCAGAGGACTGCGGCCCCTCCGTGGTATGCATAAATCGCTATGGCAATGTCCTACCGTGAGTGACTCGTGGCACATATTCCAAATGTAGACAGCCCTTCTGATGCATAATTAGGTACCACTTTTTCCGCAACCTGACTACAATGGATGCACCCACCACGTTTGGTGACACCACAGTAGCCAACGGCACCAAGCTGAACGACATCAAGTCGGCCGATTTCATTGTGTACAACAAGGAAAAAGGTCTCGAGGCTTTAGGACCCAACCCCAGTTACGAGTATGTCTTCGCGGTGAATGAGGCCGTGCACGAGGCTCCTGTCTATGTAGCGTCACAAAACAAGCTGTATTTGTCGCAGCTAGCTCCTCCCACTGGCTATTTACCGCAGCTTGTGGTCGACCTAAACCAGGATCCCCCCACATTGTCCGAATTTCTCTCTGATCCACCGGTATATGCCCCCAATGGTGGTACGTTCCACAACGGCAAGATCATCTGGGGTGCTTCTGGTGGCAACAACTCCATTGGAGGTTCCGAGCAGCGCGTGGGGTTGAGAACCCTGGATCCAGAGACCAACAAGACCGTCAGCTTGGTCAACAACTACTTTGGCTACTATTTCAACACGGTTGATGATCTTGCCGTTCATCCCAAGACGGGAGATATCTGGTTCACCGATCCTCGTGAGTGCCCTGTTATACCCTTCCTCACACACATGCTAACAGCTTCCAGAATACTCTTGGTTCAATTCTCTAACTGATACGCCTCCTCAGCTGCCCGCTGCCAGCTATCGTTATAACACTTCTTCTGGTGCAGTTGTCGTAGTCGACGACAGTATCGGACAGCCAAATGGTATCGCTTTCACTCCAGATGGCTCAATCGTCTACATCAGCGACACCGTTGCTGTCAGCGCCCCGGTCGACCCGAAGTATGGCCATCCGGGCAGCACATTCAACACGACTCAGCGAAGGTAACTCATCTCAACTCTTCGCTTATCACTTGCTTCGAGTCTCAGGTAACTGACATCATACCCATCAGAACCATCTATGCCTTCGACGTGAGTCAAGATGGAGCCCACGCCTATAACAAACGGCCCATCTACCTCGCACCTGGCTTTGTCCCCGATGGACTGAAAGTGGCCGCAAATGGCTACATCGTTACTGGCTGTGGTTACGGAGTGGACGTCATAGATCCATCCGGGGAATTGCTGTTCACCATCCAGACGAATTACACGGTTCAGAACTTTGCCTGGACCGGCCCGGAATTGAAGACGCTGTGGCTGATGGGGAATGAGGGGATCAGTAAAGTGGAATGGGATCTCGCAGGACAAGAGCTGAAATAAGTCGGGGTACAGGAAGTCTTGCATGAGCGGTGATGTGATCGTTCTTATGATTGATGTCTAATATGCATGTGCGTTGAACGACTGGCAGGTACTGTGTGGAGCACCTGCAGTTGACTCTGGTAGGAGAAAGACGAGCCGCTTTGGTTACTAAGAAGGTCACTAGTAAGTAGTATTACTAGTAGTAGTCGTTGCAAACCGAGATGGGTGGTTCTAGTTGTCATGGGATTGCCAGATTGAGTTGTGGGTGTGTTCCTTCCCACTTTTACTGTACTGGATGTCCTCTGCATTGATGATGCTTCCTCATGGTTACATATACAAAACGGGCATTTCCATGGTGTGTAAAAGCTTCAACCAGACGGATCGCCAAACGGATATGTCTATGCACTGGAAAACATTTAGACGTGTCTATAAACATTGCTGCGCTGCTTTCCCACCTGTCGTCTGCCGGAAGCAATCGCGATCTCAGCTAAGCGATGCTGAGGCCGATGCGGATAGAGCCAACTGGGATGAGGTCTCATCATCGACAGTAAGAGCCAGAGCCACATTCTTGATGACAAGATAAATCGCGGTCAGCTCTGCCTGGCCCAACTACTTTTCGACAGACTCACATCTTGTCGTTTGCCATTTCGCCATCGCGGAGGTCTGTTACCGAGGAGCTGTGATGCACTTTGTCAGCCCGGCATTTCCCTTCTCGAATGTTTCCTTGTATTCTTGTGTTCTTCCAACTCACCGATCGTTTGCCCTGCTGTATGCTCTGAGATTCATAGCTGTTAGGCCTCTGCATGAGCATCAATTTGGACTTCAATCCCCTTCGTAGCAGCATCGCTGTCAGCTTCCCCTCTCTAGCGTTATCTTTCGCTTGACTCACTACCAGTCGCGTGTTAAGATTGGCTCCCTGATCTGCAGGAAGAGCGGCTGCGAGCACGCAGAGAAGTGCCAGCAGAAGGGCTGGCTGCATGAGTTTGGTGAGGACAAGCATCGTGATCGTTGAAGATTTATGGTAGGCAAGTGGAAGAGAGATGAAAGAATTGTCTGTATCAACAGTGGTGTACTGGCAGTTCCAGAAATGGGTGGGAAGATTCAAGGCGTAATTATACTGGCAATTCTTGAATTGCATCGCACTGCATCTCGCCGCTTGGGAAGCGAGTTGACCAGCACCCTGTTTCAATTATCGAAATCATACTTCCACTCGCGCATCCACGACACATCCCCATACCTTGCATCAATCACACAACCACCACCATCAAGCGACCGGAACGGGCTGGATCTCTTCGCCGCAGACGGGCCCTCTCCCTGCCTGAGCTATGCGGCCACGTACCGGTAAGTTCTGCAGACCGTATCTCAATGGACTTCTAGTTCTCAACCAAGCTTGCTGGATGACGAGCATAGATTCTCTCTCAAGCGGGCTGAACTGGATAATCAATCGTTAGCTCGTAACGCTAGTGCAGAAAATCCAATACTGAGCGGCAGGTGGCTGCATCTCGGGGAAAATTTCCCCAAGGATCGCCACCCAACCGGAGATGAGCCGCCACTCATGTCAGCGACAAGCCACTGCATGCTTCTCATAGTTCTTCTTGGGGAAATGCATGACTCGCAAGAGGCGGAGCTTCTTGCCGCACTGAGGATTTAACATCTGTGATCTCTGGCTCCACTGCAGCACCGCGGCAGCATCAGATGCGGGCATCTTGGTATGGCTGTGGGACTTCAATTATTGGTTTGTGATGGACGTCCAGATTGGCACTGAATGCAGCAAAGCAGGTCTTGAAGAGGCAGTCCCGATGATTCTGATAGGAATGTCTCCTCTTAGCATTTGCGTCTCCTTTATGATGCCTGCTGTTTACGTTGGTCCGGACTGTTGTCTCCCGTTTGATTGAGAGAAAACCCTGTCAGCATGGCAGTTTCAATTCCCTGGCTGGTATTCCAGCTTCCACTGGGCATCTGCTTGACTCTAGCACTGCTCGGACAAATTGGATGCCGACCGTGGAGCTCTGCCTCCCCAGACCCATCAAGCCATCCAGCAACAGAACAAGAACAGGAGAGACACAAGGTTCCTGACTTCATCGAGTCATGGGAGACGTACAAGAACTATACCAACCATCACAGACCTTTTCCAGGTCACGCCAACCGCCGAGCGGCCCTTGACGTTCTCCGGTCCCGGGTCCCGGCATCCCGAGTCCAGGAGGACGACGACCCAGACCAAACCACGATTTTCACCGATAGATACCGACTAGAGATCGACCAGCGAGGGATCCTGGGCCATGGGGCCAGTGGCTACGTCTATCCTGGCATTTTGTCTTCTCTAAATCTCAAAGAAACCCAGGATGTCGCCATCAAGGTCTCGCACCGTCCCCATCTACTGTGGGAGGCTCAGCTAATGGACCTCATCCACGGCGATCACCTGCTCCGCTCCCTGGAGACGGTAACCATTCCCCAACCAGAGGATGGCAAGGCTGCAGATGGGCTGGTCTACGCAATGATCATGCCACGCATGCAGGGAAGTCTGCATTCGTGGGCGGCCGGATTGTCGTCGCGCGAGGAGCCAGGGCAGCGGACCCGCTCAGCTATGCTGCAAATGTGGGAAGGGCTAGTCCAGCTCCATGCACAGGGCTTTGCGCATCGCGATGTGAAGCTCGCGAATATGGTGTATAGATGGAATGAGACGGGGGACATGCACGTTCTCCTTTCGGATCTGGACCACGCTACCCCCGCCCGAGAGGTGAGAGGCAGTGCGGGAACTTTGGGGTATTTATCTCAAGGTAAGCTATTGGAGTAAAGAATCTGACGGTGTACTGACGCGGGAGCAGAGATTTTACTCAACCAAAAACACGATCCCATGAGCTCGGATGTCTTTGCCATGGCGATGTCGTTCTTGGGGTTGGTCTCCCGCCGGATGTCGTCTGATCGGGACTTTCGCATGCTGGTGTGGAAGAGTGTAGTTGACGCTGCGAAACAGTCGAAGATAGAAACCACTCTGCTTCAACTGTTTGGTAACGGTTTATCCGTGCGACAGGCGGGACTGTTAGCAAAAGCGCTGTGCGAGGAAGAGGGGAAAAACGATGGCAGGTGGATGCGGCGTATCACGGCCCAGGATTTTCTTGGTGAGTTGCGAGGGATGATGGATAGTGGGTTGTGGTGATACTTGTAGTGTGTTCTATGCCAGTCTTCAACCAATATCACCTTCCAGATCCCTACACTAGGTACCCAGAAATGGACAGGGAAAAACAAACCCATGATCCATGCACCACTAACTACGGTTACTGTCTGTGTTGCTTGCATGGATCTACGGTACTGTACCTAACCAGTTGAGTCCCATTACCCATACTTGCCGTATGGTTCATCCACTCACGCCTCTTCCAACTTCGCATCCTTTTCTCCCCATCTGTTGGCAAATATTCCTGGCATCGAAGACACCATTCATTGCTTCTCCACAACAGCCTTCTGGGACACACAACCATGGATTTCTTTATTACTGTCGCCGCTCGAGTTCTGATACTTATTCGCACGGAAAAACAAACAGCCGATTGACTAGACACAGCCTCGTCGACTAGATTACCCCGCCCCCCCCCCCAACTATGGCTGTGATACACATACCCGTCAGGCGATTCGGAGCCCATTGCTGACATTCAGTATGGACCCCTTAAGCGCCTTCTCCCTCGCATGCAACATTCTTCAAGTCATTGAGCTTGGTCAGAAAACCCTGACCCTGACCTTGAACTACCGCAAAGCCAGCACGGGCGAACCCCGCGAGCACGAAGATCTGCAAGGAGTGCTGCAATGCCTGATCAGTTTGAATGTCGACTTACACGCCTCGATCCCAAATTCTACCGACCCAGACAGTCTCACTCCGGCGCTGGCTCGGTTGAAGCAGGCTAACGAAGAGTGCCTTCGTCTGTCCATCGAGTTCGTAGACTTGCTGAACAAGCTGAAGCTCCGCACCCCACATGCATTGCTAGAGTCCATCCGGGCGAGCATCAAGACGCTCTGGAATCGCGACCGCATGGAAGCCATGTCTAAGGCTGTGGGTCGGGCTCGGGAGAATCTCAACACCGCACTGCTCTTCTACCTCAAGTATGCCCCTGGCCGATGCTTTACTGTCGTGTCACTAAGTGCGTGGTAGGGATACCCAAGCCACCGTGGCGGGCCAGGATCAGATTCTCCAGTCTACGGCTCAGCTAGAGGACAACGTCTTATCTGCACTGGAGGAACGTTGCGCGCTGATCCGAGCGGATGTACGCCAGGTTCTGGAGCAGGTGCAGGCAGCCGGCATGAACCAAGCGGCAGAAACTCAGCTTCTCGTCTCGCATCGGCATCAGCTTGACTACCTTCAACGTCAGATACATGGCATTCTCGATCGACAAGAGCATCTTAGGAACCTGGATGAGCAAAGGAGACTAGCAGAAACCCACCAACTGTTCTTGGCTAGCATCCAGTTCCCGCAAATGCAGGAACGTGCACAACAAATTCGAACTGCGCACGAAAAGACCTACCGATGGGTCCTGCAGCCACAACACCCGAGCTCGGTGGTGGCTTGGCTATCTGCTCCCACGGACACCGAACCGATTTACTGGATCTCCGGTAAACCGGGCGCGGGAAAGTCGACCCTAATGCGCTACCTGGACCAAAATCTGGATTACGAGGAGCATATGCTTCCCTGGGCAAGTGGGTTCACAGTTATACGAGCTTCATATTACTTCTGGAATGCAGGAAATGCGCTACAGAAGTCCTTCGAAGGACTCGTGCGGTCCTTGCTTGCCCAAATACTCGAACAGCAGCCTGAGCTTATAGCTCGCATCATGGCACTTGGACCAAAGTACAATCCCCGAACTTGGGGCTCGAGTCATGTGGAATGGACCCAGTCTGAGCTAATGAGTCTACTTCATCTGTGCATTGGCGCTCTGCAAGACCGCTACAAAATCCTCCTTCTTATCGACGGTCTGGATGAATATGAAGGCACTGACGAGTTGCGACGGGATGTAATCCGAAGTCTGACTGGGTTGAACGGAATGGCGAACGTGAAGATATGTCTGTCAAGCCGGCCATGGAACGTATTCCGAGACGCCTTCAACAGCACACCGCAACTGCGATTAGAGGATCTTACTTATCAGGATATCAGCACATATATCAAGACCGAGCTTACCAAATCCCCCCGCTTTCGATATCTTCACCTTCGCCAGAAAGCCGAGGCAGACAGACTAATCTTGGCGATGACTGAAAAGGCTGCTGGAGTCTTCTTATGGGTCCGGCTCGTGGTGCGCGACCTGCTTGAAGCTCTCCAGGATGGCGATAATATGGCTGCCCTGTCGCAAAAGCTCAACGGCATCCCCGCTGACCTGGATGAATACTTCCGTAGGATGATTGATTCGATCCCTCCCCTGCACAGGAGAGAAGCGTCGAAAATGATCCAAATTGCATTACATGAGGAGACCGCGTTCACCGCACTCCACCCGCTGCGGATGCTTGACCTCCTGTTCATTGACGAACCCGTCCTTGACTTTGCAGACACAAGCCCGTCGAACTATCCCATATTGGATCTGGCTGATCGTGAAGGACTTGCCTTTATGCTGGACTCCACGTACCGTAGGATCAACAGTCGATGTATGGGCCTGCTGGAGTGCGTATTTGATCTGGAGTTTTCTGATTATTTTGACCTTACCACTCCGGATTACTTGGAGACCTACGATGGTCATCAATTCAATTCTGCGCTTTGTACACAGGTTGCGGAGTCGGCAGAGATAGGACACACATTTATGCTAACCATCAGCTTCATACATCGCAGCTGCCGGGACTTCCTTCGATCGCCTGAGATTCAGGAATTACTGCATCGAAATACCGGCGGCCCCTTTGACGCAAGGCGGTACCTGGTCAACGCCAGAATCCATCAACTTAAAGCCTTGATGGTTGTTGGAATCAATCCGGAACTGAGTTTTGGCATCGCTAGTTATCTGGCGAGCGCACTAGCAGTGCCTGGATGGAGGGAGTCCGCCCCAGCCATCAGAGCAGCCCGAGTTCTGGACCCAGTCATTGAAGCTCTCCTATCAGCGAGCGATCCCAACAGTAGCATGAATTTCGGCTGGTACATAGGCAGAGTAGTAGAAAGGTGGGCGGACGAAAGAAGTTGTTTCCTGACTCTCGCCATCGACTTTGATATGCGAGGCTATGTCAGGGAGTGTCTTGGTCCAGCGCAAGTGCGCAACAAGGCTGGCCGCCCGATCCTGGACCACGTTCTCAGACCGGAATTCTACCAGTTTAGTGGCTCATTGGGCATTGGGTACTCGTTGGTCAGCCCCGAACTCGTGCGCATTGTGCTCGAAAACGGGGGCAACCCCAATGATTATTACCGAGGAGGGACCGTCTGGGCACGATTCCTCGCGTGGACAGCAGGTTGCTTAGTTAATTATCTCACCGTTGACGCCGAAGTAGTTCAAGCCCATGTTGAGTCAATCGCGCTGCTGCTACAGCACGGTGCGACACTCGTTATTCCTCATTCCTGGCTTGCAAGCAGCAGTTCCAGCTGGGCCAAGGTCATGACCCACCCGGAGTCGGGCCCGCAGGAGGGCGATCGATTTCGACGCCAGACATCGCCTGTCTCAGCCTCCACTCACACGGCCTCCAGCGTGGACCAGCCATGCTATGCAGTGGCAGACCTCCTGGAAGCGTTCCGGCCATGGTTCGGAGGGGAGATCGACCGGCTGATTGCTCTCGCGCAACGCTCTGCAGCCGCATCTGTCCTGGCGCAGGGTATCACGACTCTGCCTCTTCGGCCTAGGACCGAGCATCTGCGACCGGGAGTAGAATCTGTATAGTGTGCTGGTTAGAGAGTCGAGCTGTTGTGTCGTTCACGCAAAGTCAGGTTTCTTCTCCTACGGGGGGTTGAAACTGATCTGGTATATGTATAGCTGCGATGCTGGGGAATACCTGAACCATCCGCGGCAGAGGTCGACGGAGAGACTCCCATGGCGTCAGGCATGATCAGAATGGTCAACTATGGATGGAAATATACTTGGAGGTGAGGATTTGTGACATAATCTGGATTCGAGTATAGATCAATGCGGCGAGGACAGATGAAGATAGATGAAGCTTGAGGCAGCAAAGGTGATATTGCTTAGGAAGGTAGGTCGAGTCAAAAGTGTAAGCCAAAGGACATTTAACAAAACTCGCTGAATTCTATCCACAAGAGCTAATAGGTATACTGTCTCAGAGCAGAGGTAGCAAAGCCCAGGCTCTGCTTCCTGGATGATTGTGATGCGATCTATCATCCCTGAAACACAAAGTCGAGAATTCCCAGCGGCGATCCGGCAGGAAGATGAACCTCCCTCAAGTCAAAGCGACCATCGGCCTGCTTGATCACATCCGTCCAGTCTTGGATGGTCCGTTCTTTCGAGTTACACGCCACGTGCATCTGCAGATCCATGGCCGCGACCAATTTCCGGACCGGCAATGGAATCGCCAGCTTGTTCTGCGCATCGTCATATTCCGCCGGCACCACGAAATCAAAGACGAGCAGATGATTCCCCGGCTTCAGCACTCCCAGCAGGTTCCGGACAATCTGCCGCACATACTTGTCGGACCAGTCATGCAAAACCGACTTGAGCAGGAAGACATCCGCGGGACAACTCTGCGGCTCAAAGAAATTGTGTGTCTGGAACGTGATGCGGGATGCACACGGCGTGGAACTGATATTCGCCTCGAAGGCCGACTGGGCCGAGGCGAGATCCTGGACGATCAGATTGAGCTTGGGATAGTGTTCAGCGAGGATGACGCTGATATGTCCTGCCGACCCTCCAAGCTATACTGCATTAGCACCGCCAACGTACAATTCACTCTTTACCCTGAACCACTGGCAACAGCAAGAACTTACATCCACAACAGTAGCCCCCTCCCCCAACCCACCCCAATCAAACCGCCTCAACACCCCCTCCGTCATCACCCCACTCGTCTCGCGCAGTCCCTGCATCGCCTCCGCAAACCGCTTCGCGCGAAACCCCCTCGGCTGCTCCGGCAACCGCTCGAAATTCTCCAGAAACTCCCACAGATCCGTACCCCGCCGCCGCCCATCATGATCCGTCGCCAGCGGGATCGCGCACGCCGTGATCTCCTCCGGCACCTCCGCCCCATGCCGCCCCACAAACCACTTCTTCAACGCCTCCACCCCCACCGTCGCGGCGGGCCGCACATCCTCCAGGTTATGCGCGAGGAAGGCCCGCGCATAGGGATAGCGCGCCATGTGCGCGGACGCGGCGGTGTGCACGACCCGCTCGTTGCCGGGGGACCCTTCCTCGGCGAAGACGAAGATGGTGAAGGCGAGCCGGAGGAAGCGGCGCACGATCGGTTCGGGGAGGTCGGTGGTGCGGGCGATGTCGGCGTAGCTGGCGGAGCCGTGGAGGGGCACTGCGTTCCAGAGGTGGAAGGTGTTGAAGACGTCGAAGGTGAGGAGGGCGTGGTTTGGCTTTTTGGGTTGGGATCGATATGCCTATGCCATCTGATAGAGGGTGGGGGGGGCAAGAGGACTTACAAACATGCTCTGTTGGAACCAGAAGTCGCTGGATCCTGTCACTAGATGGTGCAGGGTTTCAAGAGTCTCTAGGAGCTTCATGCGAGAATCCTGGATTTTGGGGTCTGGGGGCATGGAGGCTGGTGCATTTACTGCGAAGGATGGCTGCGGTTGCCCCGCGGCGTTGAGCTGACCGGCGAGAGCGTGGGTGAGGTCGGCTATGGTCGCGCCCAGGCTCTCGAGGCTGGGTTGTGTTGAGCCCATGGTTTCTCTGCGGTTGATTGAGAGTCAGTGGAGATCGGGGTTGGAGATGCTTGTCTGGATTCTAGGATCTTGGAGAAGAAGAAGAAGAGAACCGCCTTATATAGTCATCTCGCAACACCCTCCGAGGCAGCTTGACCCACCACTGGATAAGATAGACCATGGCATTGGAATCAGAATTCCTGTTCGCTATGGATGATCTCTGGAACCAATTTGGGTAATCAATTCGTGGCAGCTGAGGCTTGATTCCTCGCCGAGCCTCTTCGCATGTCTCGCGCTATGGATGTGTATACGAGCACACGGGTTAAGCGACACTTAGCGCTCCAATCGCTGCGGCTTAGCCCGCCGCCAGCCCGCAGGGCACAGGCCCACGCGGCTGACGCGGGTCCGTGCAGCCAGTTGTACTACTATGTATAGGTATATGTCGTTGTGAAAATGACGACTTAATAGGTAGATCAGCTGCAGCTTCAAGGTTACTCTCTTGGGTATCCACATCGGTGACAGTCCCAACTAATTTTTAAAGGTATATGTAGCCCTAAAGCCCCCCGGTCCATGCTGACAGCACAGTGGACAACTTACTACTACGAGGCACGAGGGCGAACTGGGGGCATCTTTCCAAGCACCCAAGCACCCAAGCACCCAAGGACCCTTTGGAGCATCGCCATACATGTATTGATCCATACCTACTACCTTAAGGTACCTATTTACTAGGTAGGTACACCCCCATCCGCCATTCGGCTAAGCGCGGTTCACGTGACTACATCTCGATAGCCAATCAGCAGTCAGCATGCTTCGGCCCTCATAAGTACCATCAGCCCTGAGTCCTAACAAAGTTGGAAAGTTACTTAGCGCTTTGCAAAAAATGAAAAATCAATAAATGAAAAGGAAAAAGAAAAATAAAATAATAAAAGTAAATAGTCTTCAGACATCATACTACACGATCCCATGGATAAACTGAAGGCATACGCAGACTACTACATCGCTCGGGCTGCTTACCACCCGCCAAGTACATTGATAGTTCCTCACAGATAGCCTCACACAGTCACACATCCTTGACAGGTCATTTGTTTATCCCGTGTCTCAGGTGATGGCAGAGAGGCATTTATTCCCCTTCTTATTTACATAGTTCAACTGTAAAAGACATCCCAGTTTTACATTATACTTTCTCCCTGCTCTCGTATTTTCCGGCTGGTTCTTTTCTGCTGTCCATTTTTGTGAATATTACCGATTAAACTCGGCAGAAACGGGTCTAACCAGACGACTAATAGAAGGGCTTGCACTGTGAAGAGTGAATCTACGGAAACAGTATACATCGACCTTTGAGAAATATCTTTGTCACCGTCGCCAACAAAGACGGCGGCTCGATCGAATTCGGCTCACCACCTTGGACTACCAGCCGCAGCGGATCTATTGATGTCTAGCTAATCATGCAAGACTAGTATCTTAACTGGGTAACTAATACTAACTATTGATTTCTAGGCACAAGCTGTGTACAAAAGTATCCTATGCGGTGACTGCACTCTCTCAGCTTAGACAGTGTATACGAGATTTACCCTCGGGCAAGCAATCCCGCGAAGCCGTGTTCTTATTTACCTTTTCCTTTCCAGTGCCTTTGTCAAATCTTCATTGCTGTATCAGCACAATGAATGACTGACCGACCCCTGTTTCCATGTCTTTTTAAAAAGCGCTGCTGTTCCTCTGCATCCTCTGCGGTGTGTTTCTCCCAACAAAATTTCTCCAAACAACCCTGATCTTCTTCTACCTCGGCATTTTTCACTACGTACCCACGTACCTTATCTTCCAATCAAAACACGATGGCAGCCAAATCGCCCAAGGACAATGTCGGCCTCGACTTTCAGTTCTGGGCCAACTTGAAATACAGTGGCCGCGGCTTCGATGACCAGGCGGACTGGGGTAAGTTGTTCACTGCAGTGCTGAACGGACCTGTGGCTAATTCACCCTTCTCTAGAGGACTTTCAGATGTGCTTCTCTGCCTCTACCTCCGGCCCCGGCACACCGCTACGTCCAGGCCTCAGGGTCAGCCAAATCGGTCATTTCGGAAGTCCGGGCCCTCTCGCGGTGGCTGCGGTAGGTTTCGCCGTTCAGGACGAGGCCACCCTTCGCGAGACGGAGTTCGGCATCCTGATCATCGTTCCGCCTCCGTCTCCGGACGACCCGCAAGAGAGGTCCGAGGAAACCGTTGTCCATCGCTACCTCGATCTCTACAAGAAGCAGGCCTGGGTGGAACTCCTCGGCGGGTTGGAAGCAGCCTGTCGACCGGTCTTCACGGCGACCAAGACGGACGAGGCCAGAGATTTTGCCGGCAGTTCGAGTCTGTACTTCGTTTTTGCCGCGACTATAATAAGCCGAACTATGTATCCACAACAATCCGGGATTTTATAGCATGTTAACTTTCAAGAAACTGTCCTGTTTTGCGAGGATTAAATGGCCAAATATTTTGTTTCGTTTGAAGATCTCATAATATTTCTATATATCTTTGGCACCGCAATTTTAAAGAGTACCGCGGAAAATATTCTCACAGATTGCGAGTCCAGCTTAGCGCCTCTTTAGTGTTATGCTATTCTACATCAAGAAGAAATGGGAAGGTGCATGAATCTACAGCTCATCGAGAACTCTCACAGGAGAAGACGCGCTTGAGCACCGGTTATGGTGGTGATGATGGTGATCTTGAAGCTCGCGTTCTAGCAGCATCTTATAATGTATCTCTTTCTTAGCAAAACTTCGTCTTATAGGCTGACTCCCAAAAAGCACTCTATATTTACTATTGAGTGGGTTGACGGTCTTAAGGTCCTGGTCCTTACATATTCCCATGTCTATGTAAAAGGCCTACTGAAAGAAAATGCAATAACAGCTTTCCATTCATAGGTTCTACGAAGTATGAAATCCAGAGATCTCTCTTTTTTTTTAAAAAAATATTTTGATGTTTTTTCTCTCCATGGCCTGCGTAGATCGCGCCTTTATAGACTATATATCTGTTGTGGAATCATAAATACAGCTGATAATACGTAGGGTGACGATAATGAGAAAATCATCGCTAAACTTGAAGTTAAACCAGAGACGGAAGATATTCTCATCTTTGGGCTAAATGATGAGCATGCAGTTGAGGAGTCTACTAATTGTTCTCGCGCACCGTATGCTTTCCCGCAATAAGACAACCAATCCGCAGAACTGCATTTAGCAGTTCTCCGCAGTTTTGGATTTTTGTTCCTCATGTAAGGGTAATAAACTCAAAGGTCATGTTCAGTGCATGCAATCAAGCTCTCAATTAAAAAGCTGTCCAGGTTCCTGTAAGGTTCGATCTATCATATACGCATCAGTAGCAACCCTCCTGTAACGGTTTTACAGCATTACTATAGAGCGTGATCCCAGAGCATGTTCCGAGTCAAGCGTTCCCAGCTTTTTCGATGCAACTAACCATTCTCCTGATAGGCTATCGAATCGGTGACTCGTCTGGGGATTGCATCGAATATAAACCTGCTTTCTACGCTTGCTGTTAGAATTTGTATAAGTTGAATCCGCATATACCTCATGTGCGTGGATTACAGGTTTCTTCTAAGGTAGTGCCGGCTTCTATCTTTGTAGCTCTTTCTTAGAATCTATACAGAGTCAATTTTCTCCCCTGAAGTGCAACACTCCTCGAAGGAAAGATCTGCGGTATCGGCGCTGGGCAAGACGGTTTTCAATCGTTGTCTTGGAACGGGATCATATATTTTTCTCCAGTCTTGCTCTGCCTTTATTTCAATATCCGAGAAACGCTTGACTCCCGTGTCGACTTGTATGACGGTTGGACATGGTAACAGAAGATGTATGTGACCACCGGGCATCTGCCTGCAGCATTCTCGAGAGGATTATTTCATGGAATACTGCAGGGCAGCAGACCTTGGGAGTGCCAAGCTATATATAAACCACGTCTGTTAATGAGCTTCTGAGTCGGCCTTGAATATTGAACCATCGAATTCCACAACAAATGAGAGATTCAGCGTACAGGGGTTGTGGCGCCCGTCATGAACTGAATGCATTCTAGATAATTAACAATGCAAGCGTCAGAGCTTCCTTTTAAGACGGCACACTGCTGAAGGTCCCCCGTATACTATCATGCATACTTGCAGATTTGTACGTACATGGCAGGGTTTCATTTATCTCTGCATGACTGACTCTTGAGATCGGACAGACCGTCTACATTTTCCTATCATTTTAGTGAGTGCGCCTACTATACGGTCGCAGAAACTGTACACAAAAAGTAATCAATATCCATATGACCGCGCTATGATCTGGTGAACTATTGACTGTAGCTGCTAACAGTTGTATTCTGGAGATCTTGATTCCTAGGTGTTAGATTCCCACCGGCGGCAATGTAGTGGATCTGATTCGCAAGATCCGCCGGTTGGGCCTCGAGCGGTCCATAACTACATAGTAGTAGTAAATTGTCAAGTTTATTCAATTAACGTAATCCCGCTTTCATTAACCAAGACCGACATCCACTTTCTGTTCTCTGACCTGCTCCGACCTCCTTGATGGAAATATTCACTTCCCACAGGACAACAACGCACCTAAGAAGCGCTCCCTTGAAGGACATGGACCCCTCCAATATCAATATTATCAGGCAGATTACGTGCTCGGATTCGTCTGCAATATTCGAGGTAGATCTGGATGGACAAAAGTATGCATTCAAGCTATTCCACGACAACGGCGACCCTGGATACACCAAAAAGGGTCGTGATTTGAACCGGTTTCGCTGCGAGTTGAATGCCTACAAGAAGCTTCTCACTGCCGGTGTCTGCGCGCGCGGTTTCGTGCCCAAATTCCACGGCGACATCAACCGAATGGACCCCGCAGCGTTCCATCCGGCTTTACAAGCTTTCGCCCGAGACAAGCTCAAACCGAGAGCAATATTGCTGGAATATTTCCCCCACGCAGAGAGTTTGAACTGCGTGACCTACTCGGACGCGCTCTATCCCCAGGCAATCGAGGAAATGCACGAGATCCACCAGGCGGGTGTGCACCATCAGGATATCTACCCCAAAAACCGCCTCCTTGTCCGTGGGGACCCCGACAGGCTGGTCTGGATTGACTGTGATGTCGCGACGACCTTCACCGACTTGGGACCGGAACAGCTGGCCCGCTGTGACTACGAGATTGCGCTTGTGAGGGGATTGGCGGAGGCTCTGGTATGGGCCCCGTTGCTGTCGACGTTGGAATCATTCAGTGTGCTGACTAACGAATGCAGAGAGATGACCAGACGGAGGGACTCCCGCCGAAATACGAAATTCTATGGAGGGTTTTAGATGGGCAATCAACATTGCCATTGTCATTCTGTGGGAAACATTGTGATTTCTCTCGTGGAATTCGTGACCATAGAGGCAGTGAAGGCGGTTGTTGTATTGCAGCATGGCGATTTCGGGGCTCTGCGAACGCCAAGGCTGGGATGTGATCATGAGGGCCGAGACATTCATCTATATTATGGCGCCGACTCAGGTTTGTATGGGAGACATGTGAGGAAGTGTCCAGGGATGGTCACTGCAATAACGAGTTGGCATCAAAAAACGATAGGATTCTCCAGTTGCACAGGGATTCGTGGATCATTACCAGAAAGTTCTGCCGGAACTTGAAGACGGTGGTCCCGAACGGGTTAACACTTTTCGGACTTATTTCCGAGGATCAAGTCGCAGGAGTGGGGGGGTATAACTGATTTCGATTCTACCTGAGCTCTAATGCAGGGCTCACGCACTAAGTCATGATAAGCGGGTCTAAGCCCATGCAAGTGACACAGTTGAGCACAGAGCACCGTCTATCGCTTTCTGCTTGGAAAGAAAAGCGAATGTCGGGGCAACGCAATGCAGGATGCAGATTGTCCCTCGCTATTATCCTGTGCTCTCTTTGCTAAATGAGCCCCGTGCCCCTCAACAGAAAGGACGGCGTTTCTAATGCGAAGTCTTTCACCAAGGGGCGGAAGTCGAGTTTGAACCAGATAATAATCGAAGAAGAGAACTCACACAAGAAAGACTAGCATAGGTTGTGGGGTAATAGTTTATGTGGTAATTTAAAAAAAGTAAAACCAATCGAGTGCTTCAGCCAACATCCAACCCTGCCTCCTCAAATATGCATGCGCAGAAAGATCTCAAGCACATACCGGACAAATCGCACCAACCAGCCCGATGCCTGCCCATCCTCATCCTCCGGCTCATGCGGCCGAGGCCCGCGGCGGTCGCCCCAGTAGCTCTGGCCGGGGCTGATGGGGTTCGAGAAATCGCGACACTGCGGGTGCTCATAGTCCTCGAGGGTGCCCATGGGCCAGATTGGGACGACGCAAACCTCGTGGTCACCGCAGCCACTGCATTGCTTCCACGTCGTCCAGGCCAGGTAGTTCATCAGCTCCCGGAAGTGGTCCACGGCGGCTTGGTAGTCGGGCTCCTGCCAGGCGGCCAGCATGGTCGCACAGATACTGCGGGCCACGGAGTGGATGGCGGTGGCCGCGACGCCATCGACGGCGATCTCGCCGGGGAGGAACTGGTGCGCGCAGCGTTCGCGCTCGGCGTCGGTATCGCGGTCCGAGTAGTCGATGAACGGGACCAGCATGGTCTCGATCTCCGCATGCAGGTCGGCCACCGTGGCCACGTCCCCGGACGCGAGGTAGCGGATCTCGCGCGCGTAGCGCTCCACGACCATGTCGGCGATCGCCTGCCAGTCGTACAGGTTCTCGGCGGCGGTGTGGTCCAGGACGAGGCGGTGCAGGTCGTCGCGGATGGGCTGCAGCTGCTGCGCGGAGAGGTGCATCAGACGGGGATGCGCGAAGGTCTCGTTCGTCGAGTGGAACAGGTCCAGGCCGTACGTGTAGGCGGACACGAACGTCTCGTAGTTCAGCGCGACGCGGTGGCCGCCGATGCCGCCATACCGGGCCGTGATCGCCTTCATCCAATCCGCGCCTCCCCCGGGCCCCCCTTTTCCAGGTTTCCCCTTTCCGCCGCCCTTCCCTTTACCCGGTCCTCCCGGGCCCCCAGAAGACTCCTTGTTCGATTTAACCTGCGTGACACGCACCTCCTTCAGATCCCGCGCGAAGTCACAGAGGATGATCTCGAAGCCGGCCTCCATGCGCAGGAAACCGTCCAGCCGTCCGTCGAAGTCCTCGCGGGCCATGCGGCAGAACTCAACCGCGCGCGCGCGCTCTCCGTGCATCGCCCCATCGCTGGGCAGGTTATCCTGGAACAGAATCCGGTCCTCGCCGTCGAGCGTCCCGTTGGCGGTTTTCCCTGCTGCCATGCCGTCCGCGTACAGCAGCCGAAGGTCCTTGGCGGCGGTGTAGGTGTGCAGCCAACCGCCTTCCGACTCCTGTTGCTCGACCTCTGCCCGCTTCTCTTTCCGCAGGTCTCCCTTTTTTCCGTTGTCGTCGTCGTCGTCGTCATCGCCATCGTGAGGAGGCGGTGGCGGATTCTTAAACGGGCCCGGCCGGGCAAAGACCAGCGCATGCTCGGGCTCAAAGGCCAGCCACTCCGTCCCGTTCACCGGCGCGGGGTTGGCGTTGCCATGGTAAAACTGCGTGCCGGCGGGGACGGTTGCCAGGAAGAAGGACATGCCGTTGTGCTGGAGGGAAGAGCCCCATTGGCGCATCGACGAGTGGATCGAGTTGAAGATGTGGTTTGCATTAGGGGAGAACTCGGTGGTGGCGCTGGTGCTCGCTACCCATAGTAGGGACGATACAAGCAGGCGGGAGACACCCATGGTGGTGTCTGGGCGTAGGGGGTGATGACTACGATAAGAGCGGGTTAATGGAGATGGGTGGAGTGACTTGATATATGTATGCCAGGCAAGTGCCGGCGCCGCGGGAAAAGAATAGGAGGCAACTTTTGCCTGTAAAACCCGATTGGGGACTTCCTAGTGGGGGATGGTCGGTCTGACGCGTCAGCGCTCAGGCGACAACTTTTACGGCGTACAATCCTTTATCTTGCAGGCCTTGTGGAACGAGGCCCTGGTGTTCCTGGCCTGCAGCAAGGGACACTGCATGATGAAGTGGTACCAAACCTGAGTTCGATATGATCCACCCCTCGAACAGTTTTTCTCTACGATTCCGATATTGTCAAACGAACTGAAACAAAGCTTGAGTGCAACAAACTGCACGTCAGATAAGCCGCGGGAAGAAGGAAAAAAGGAACTTTCAATCTAATCTTATCGCCGAGGTAATTGCGGACTCGGTCGCCCGAACCAGTACTAATCCCCGATAAACCGGAAGTATGCCCGAAGACCGAAGCACTAAACCCGAGATCCCCTTCCGTCATTCGCCGCTCCGAGCCCAAACCAAGCCCCCCAAGCCCATCTTCATCAACACACCGACTCCAGCCTTACGAACCATGCCTCCCCACCCCACCCCCGGCAAGTCGCGCACTCTCCTCCTCACGATCGATGCGTTTGGCACTATCTTCCACCCCCGCGAACCCGTTCCCCAACAATACGCGTCCGCCGCGCACAAATTCGGCCTCCCTCGCTCCACCGTCACCCCGGACCGCCTGCAATCCGCCTTCAAGGCCGTCTTCAAAGCCCAGTCCAAAGCCCACCCCAACTACGGTCGCGCCCAAGCTCTGCGCGGCGAGTACGGCGGGCCAAGACAATGGTGGGAAGAGGTGATCCGGGGCAGCTTCGCCCGCGTTCTAGATGCCCCTAGCTCTGCCACCGCTGCCGCCGACTCCTCGTCCCCCACCCCCACAAACAGCGCAGTACCCGACGGCCTCGTCCAACACCTCCTCGACCGCTTCGCATGCCAGGACGGCTACGCCCTCGACGCCAACGCCGACGCGTTCTTCACGCGGCTGCGCCACATCAAACGCACCAGGACGCGACTGGGCCCGTTCGATCGCGTCGTGGTCGGCGTGGTGTCCAACTCCGATGACCGGGTGCCGGCCGTGCTGGAGTCGCTGGGTTTGCGGGTGGGGATGTGCCGGGCCGATCAGGATGTCTCGAGTACACGACTACCGGGGTTCGAGATGCGGGGGCGCGATGAGGCCCGGGTCAACAATGAAGCGGGCGGCGAGGGGATCTACGATCTGGATATGGTGATCACCAGCTACGAGGCGGGCGCGGAGAAGCCCGGCGCCGTCATCTTCGAGGTGGCCCGGCGCCAAGCCATGAAGCTGGTGAGCGCGAGTGAGGATGGCAGCGATAAAAGCGAATGGACGTGCGTGCACGTGGGCGACGACTACGACAAGGATTATCGCGCGGCGATCGAGGCCGGCTGGAAGGCTTTCTACATTCCTCTCGGGGAGGACGCGAACCGGCCGTCCCAGGGATCGAAGACGGCGACGCTGGTGGACGTGCTCTCCGAGTTGCAGCGGTTCGAGTAGGGCGTAGTGGCTGTGCTGTATACCCGGTATTTAGCAGTAATCCAAACCAGAGGCGGACGGAAGTAGAGTATAATTGCTCCCGTGTGTGTAGATAGCTGCGAATACGCACTCCGAAGCTTTTCCGGTTGCACAATGCCCTCTTCACCTTCCCCCCCGGTCCGAGCCAAACAAGCTGCAGCAGTGTGGCGAAAGCCGTGTCTATTTCCGGATGTGATCCCCGCACAACTCAGGAATTATGCTTCGCACACAATACGATTACAGTTCGTGTCCAGAACATGATAATCAGAATCCCCCAATCAGCTAAAAATCCGGGGTCCTCACGCCAAGTGGAGTAATGTCATCCAGGCATCACTTCCCGTCGATCGTTGGGGATTTTGGGAGGGGGGGGGGGGGGGCGGGCGCTTGGCTTTTGCAAGCGGAACACAACCCCGATGGAGTAGGGGAGCATACTGAGTTTAAACCACACACAGCCACGATGACGCATGATTCTCGGTACTGAAGAGGCGAAACCAGTGGTGCCCACCAACCACATTGTCAAAGCAGATCTCGATACAGGATCATGTTATTGGCACACTGGTGCGTGCCGTGTCAATGGAAAATCATATGATGATGATGATTGGAAGGTTGGTGGACTGCGATGATGCAATGACCTTCGTCGCGTTGGTATATAGAGCACCCGTAGTCTGTCCTGCTCCTAACTGGTGAGGTTATTATTTGAATGATTGTCACCTGAAACAAATCTCCCTCTATCAAAGAACCACTTCTTTTCTTTTGCCTCCAAGTACTGAAGATATAGCAACATGGACCTCGTCCAGAAATACGGCCACCTCAAGCGCGACCGCCGCAAGAGCTCCGCGCAGCGCGAACTGGCCGAGGCGGAGAGGCACCAGGATCAGCAGCGTATGTGTTCAGCCTGCAGTTCATCCCGAGTTTTTCCATGAACAATAGTGGGAATCTCGTTGATGCTGACTGACTGACCTTGGATACTGTCGCAGGAATCAACGAGCTGTTAGGCAGTTTCGGGGGCGCGGCGAACGATCACCCGGATCGGCGATCGAGCGGGGCGGGGAATATGGCGAGTATGATTCAGGAGTTTAATGCGCGGTATGGTTGACTCATTCCTTTCGTTCACGGACAAAACTGTTTGTGGAGAGTTGGGTTGGGGAGGGGCTGATGTGTGAGCTGTAGACGGAACTCGGAGTCGATGGGCGAGGGTGAGCTTGGGGAGAAGGGGACGGAGCATGCGGTGGAGTGAGCGGCACTCATTTGATTAGAGCAAAGGGGGTTGTTGTTGAAGGCCTGTTGAGGAGCATTTCTGGGATGGACTGTATTTTTAGGGTTACTACGGCATCTTTATGAATAATGACTGGTTTTGATCTTGGGGATTCGTTCTGTATTGCTCTCCCAGTGGTCTTTGGACCTCCTCTGGGGGCAGCAATTCCACGTGCTAGATAAGGTGTGTATACTGTCCCAAGTCCTGTACGGAGATCCGAACTACTTGGGAAAGGTGGCCCACGGCCCGGAGGGAGTTCGGCATGTAAATTTAGTTCCGATGGCCCGGTTCACAGCCTATCCAGGAGTCTAATCCTTGTCGAAGGAGACACTAAGATTTAGTTAACCTAGATCCTGAGGCACTCACTGTAAAGTCCATCCTTCTTGAATAGCCCGTGTCCCTATCATGGTATAACTATCACAATGTCAAACAAATATCGGCACATAGTATACTAAGTAGCTCTAGATCACTTCCCTCCGGAAAGACAGGTTTCGGCCTTCGGAAGCCTCGGGAAGCTCTTTTTGCCAGCGGAGAAAGGGTCTCAAATGGGCGGACCTGGATGGGTCCGTAGCGACAGCAAGATTCGCCAACAAATCAATTGAGACGAGATCCACTTGGTAGAAACCTTGCTGACAGATCCAACCGGCCTTTTGGATCTAAACCTCCATAGATAACTACGCTACCGTCCCCGTTCGAAAACAGACTACTTGCCTATGTCCCGGCACTAATCGACACTCCAACGCATCCTTTCAAAAGCAGATATGTCCACCATCCTCATCACCGGCAGCTCCCGCGGCCTCGGCCTCGAGCTCGTCCAGCAATTCGCCGCCCTCCTCCCTGAGAACGGCCTCATCATCGCCGCCGCCCGGAACATCACTCCCGCGCTGGAGGAGGTCATCGCGCGCGAGAAGGGCCGCGTGGCGTTCGTCGCGCTGGACATCACCGACGAGGCCAGCGTCGTCCGGTCCGCGGAGGAGGTTCGGGGCGTACTGGGCGATCGGAAGCTCGAGATCCTGGTCAATTGCGCCGGGGTTATTGGGGAGACGCAGGAGAAGGCTGGGTTGGTGTGAGTCTCGGTTTTTCCTTTCCCCTCAACTTCGTTTCCCGTCAATCAATTACATCTGGATCCAGCGTACTGACCCCAAGGACTGGATATCTAGCTCCTCGGCGGACCTCGATTTCACGCTCTCGGTGAACGTGACGGGCACGCATAATGTCACCCGCTCGTACCTACCGCTCATGCAGGGTGCGTCGGTAAAAAAGGTTGTGAACATGTTCGTTGAATCCCTGCTTCCCTCACTTTCCCCGGTGCTGCGTTCTAGTTCGGTTTGTTCTGATAGGGCTGATTCTCACGACATGTGTGTAGCTCAAGCCAGTACGGCTCGATGGCCCGCGCGCGCGCCAACGACTACGCCAAATTGCCGGCGTACAAGGTCAGCAAGGCGGCGCTGAATGCGTTGACGGTGCAGTATGCTCTGTCCTACGAGGCGGACGGGTTCGTGTTCATGGCAGTGCATCCGGGGGTGAGTTTTCCAGCGTCCCTTTCTCGTTGGCGGGCGCAAGGCTAATCTGGCGGGGTGGCTGCAAAAGTGGCTGCAAACCGATATGGGGGGCAGTGGGGCCGACCTCACCGTTTCCCAGGGCGCAAAGGCTGTGCTGGAGGTGATTGTGGCGGCGGATGAGAAGTCGAACGGGACGTTTAGGAATATTTATGTGGGAGGTTCGGAAATTTATCGTGGAGAGGAGATTCCTTGGTGATTTCTGTTGGCATCGTAGAAAGGGCAGTTTAGATAGAGATAGTATAGAAGGCATGAGCACAGTTGAGAACTGCTTTGATTGGGGGTACCTTACCTGAACAGTACTCCTCCGTGATCTTCCGGACGTCCGAATGTTTTAGGAAGGTGGGTCTCAAAAACAGCGATTGCTTTGATGACTGAAAGTCTAGAAGCTCTTGATCAAGAGATGGGTCTAGCTTAGGGGATCAGACACAGGATCAGTTTAGTGTCCCTCAAGTTATTTGGTGTTTGATTACTAGCAAGGCTTGGAGGGAGTCCATGAATCAAAAAGTTGGATCTAAGACCCCGGATGAAAACTTCGCAGCGCGGGCAATATGTCTCACGTGTCGAAGAACTTGGGCCTGAGTGAATTGACACTTGCAGAAACATGGGCAATGGTCAAATGCTTGAAAGGTGGATGAAAGTCAGTTATAAAGGTAAGTCATACAGTACCTGTAGGTTGTTCACGGCCCAACTTACATACCATCAACCTTGAACCAAGCCTGTCGTTGATTGGCCACTTTGAGTTCATAGATCGACAGAGCCATCGAGCGGCCACCATGACTTCTGCAACCCTTCTCGGTCTCAGTGAATTCTTGACTCCTCTTACTTCCCTCTATATAGTCTCAGGGAGTGTTAGACAATCAACTGTTCTCAACATCGGCAAAAGTATCCAATCTTCGCCATTCCACCTACCACGGCGGCGGCAACCAGCACGACTTCTCCTACGAGGAAGCTCTATAGAGAATGAGAAATCGCGAACATGATCCTTTCCCAGCGAATAAAAATGAGCCCCCAACCAGCGATCATGAGAAGCTTCAACGCGCCGGTGGCAGGGGGTTGCGACGTCAGTCGACAACACCCAATCCCACCCCCGTTGACGACCCCATCGATTACCCTGAGGGTGGACGCGACGCATGGCTCGTGGTATTCGGTGCGTTCTGCGGCCTAGCAGCATCGCTGGGGCTATATAACACAGTGGGCGTCTTTGAAGCTGTTGTCTCCAAAGACATTCTGCCGAATGTGTCCTCGTCTACAACCGGTTGGATATTCTCGGTTTATGCATTTGTGAACTGGGTCTGTGGGATGCAAATCGGTCCCACCTTTGATGCGATGGGCCCGCGGGCACTGATCCTCGCGGGAACAGTCTGCACGCTGATTGGCATCTTCTCATTCAGTGTTTGTAAAGGTAAAGCCATGTTGTGATTGCGTCCGAGCATCATATCTGAAGCCCATCCGTCCTCGCTGATAACAATTGCACGCAGAATACTATCAGTTTTTCCTCGCATTCTCCGTCCTGACAGGCCTCGGCTCCTCCCTTCTCCTCACGCCGTCGATGGCCTGCGTGGCCCACTGGTTCATGAAGCGCCGCGGCCTGGCTAGTGGGGTCGCATTTATCGGGAGCGGTTTTGGCGGGGTGATATTCCCGCTGATGCTGCAATCCCTCTTGCCCCGGGTTGGCTGGGGGTGGTCGATCCGCATTCTTGCCTTTGTCCTGCTCGTGCTGTGTGCCATCAGCGTGGCCTTTTGCCGTAGCCGGGTGCCACCGCGCAAGGGCGCAGAGACCACTTGGCGCGATACACTTCCGGACCCGTCGATCTTCCTCGATGGAACCGGAGCCATGGCCCTCACCACCTTCGGGGTCCTCTTCACCGATCTGGCCTACTTCCTCCCCATCACGTACGTGCCGAGCTATTACATCGACCGACAGCGCCTGTCCCAAGAGGAGGCGCTGACCGGATCGGCCGCGTTCGCGTATCAGCTTCTCGCCATTCTGAACGCGGCCTCCTGCGGCGGCCGGTATGTGGCGGGCGATCTGGCGGATCGCTTCGGCCGGTACAATACGATGATCGTCTCGCTGTTCTTCTGCACGGTCTCCGTGCTATGCTTCTGGCTGCCGGACATTGTTGTCTCGGACCTCGAGAACGACGCCTTGCTCATCGTCTTTGTCGTCCTGTTCGGCTTCTGCAGCGGCTCCAATGTGAGCCTGACCCCCATTTGTCTGGGCCAGCTCTGCGATACGCAGGAGTACGGACGCTACTACGCGAGCTGCTTCACTGTGGTGGCCATTGGCGTGCTGGCGAGCCTCCCGATCGGCGGGGGCCTCCTGAGCGCCGTGACAGCCACGGGCAAGGAAAAGTATTGGGGTACCACGCTATTCGCCGGGCTGAACTATGTCGTCGCCTTCTTATGTTTTGTCTGGGTGAGGATCAAGATCAAGGGGTGGGATTGGAGGATCAAATGGTAGCTGCGACTGTGAAAGAGGGAGGCTTTCCGAAGACGAAAAGCATAAAAGTACGTAACGAGCTGAACGGGTAGACTGAAAGCCAACCTGTAAGTCGAGTGAAGAGAACTGACGGGGGTCCTGAGGCCTGTCTCGGTGGCTTTGGCTAGTTCCGCAGGTAGCCTCACGTACTAGAGTCAAAATCCACCATCCATCCTCGTTCACATCATGAACTGTCAGGGCTCACGAAATGCCTGATATCATTCTCACTTTCCAAGATGAAGTTCATCAGGCTGGACTCGAGCAAACCTTACCTTGTCAGGCTCCTTATGAGTAGAACCGTTCTAGGTCCCTCAATCTATGCCCTTGTCTTTACCAAACCCAGACTACTAGAAGCATGCTCGCCTGGGTTCCGATGAATCAGCTTTCCAACAATTCAATGACTAGCCAAATCCATCTCCATGCAGACCTGCTACTGTGCGTGTGCCGCTGCCCTAGTACCGCTCATCGTTCAAGCTAGTTTGAGGAGAAACGTTATTACTTCATTCAATATCAATGAAAAAGACGCATTGCGAAGGAGCCCCCTGTCGAGTGTACTCGTGGATTGACTCGCTGCATGACGCGGTGAAACCGTGTGTTTTTGCTTACAGGATCAAAAGAAGAAACTATTATAAGCCTACTTGATTGACATGTGCTTGTCCCTTGTCAACTGACTAGTGAAACAAACAAGCAAGAGCGTGGAAACTTATAGAATGATTCATGAAGAATCGAGCTATATGGTACCCGAACTCGTGATTTCGCTGCTGATAACGAATCCCGCCACCTCTCTCGAGCTCGCGGGCATAACAGAAACATGCTGCACGACCCTTAGTTCCAAGCTCTCATAAGATTCAGGCTTGAACCTCAGCAAACGCAGTCAAGTCCTGCGTCCCATTGGGAAACTGCTCTTGCGGGACCGGGCTAGTGGGACAGGCTCTTGCGACAGCGGGGGGCGCCGCCTCCTCCTCCTCCATATCCTCCATCGCCGCCATCGATGGGATTGACTTCTCTCCTGCCATGCTCGCCATGGCCAGGAAGACCGGAGTCTACCGCAACCTGATCCGTGGCGATCTCACGGCTCGGATCCATGTGGTGGCGGATGCCGGTATGATTTTGTGGTCTGCGTGGGCATCTTCACCCTCGGCCATGTTGGCTCGCACCCGGCGCTGAGGGAGTTTGTCCGCGTCACTAGGCCAGGTGGCCTCGTCGCCGCACCAGTTCTGGAGGAGGTCTGGGTTCCCGGAGGCTTCCAGGAGGTGGTTGAAGCGTTGGCCGCCGAGGGCCAGGTGGCTGTGGTCTTCCGGGAGCTGATCGACTTCGTCAAGGGCCGTGGTGATGATGCGGTGCTGGTGATCCTGAAGAAGATCACCTGCGACTGATGAAGGGCGGGCTGGTACATATCGGAACATGGAGTCCAACAGAGAGACACCTGAAGGTTGTTGTGGAGCTCGCCCATTTGCCTAGGATTCAGTAGTTAAGAGTGTGCTAGGAATAGTGGACCATGCATCATAAATGGCTGAAGTAATAGGTAGCAATGTCTTCGTTGCCTAGTACTGTACATCCTTCCACACTTGAAGTTTGTCAGCGTTGCTAAATAATCCGGCCCCATGACTCCAAAGGCCTTTTCATCTTGTTTACATGCGGGAACGCAAATAGTTGCAACCTCCAAGATAATCAAGAACTTGTTCCAGCAGCCTACCTTTAAATCTTCAAAATCGTTGTTAAGATTTCTGTCGATCGAATGGAAGCCCTGCCTGACTTGTCGACATCCCTATTCGCTATGTATCATCGAGCAACTGCAGGCAAAGCACAGGGTCTGTTCCTCGCCTGTGAGCTCGCCGATATGGCACAGATTCACTCTAGCGTGGATCATGGCCTTTTTTGACTGTTTGGCATCGCAGTGAGCAATCTAGGTAAGTCTGGTTCATTTCTGAGCGGATAGTAGATTCTCGGCTATGCTGCGACCTGACCACTACCTGTAGACTGTATCATCCAGGCCCCTATACGAGAACGCTATCATCTAAAAAGAGGTTCGAATTCAAAAACGCCGCAGAGGCAAACCATTCTTCAAGATCGAAGGTCGGAAGGGTGGGATCGACTCCGTGCAAATTCTCCTCTGGCAAGACGTTCCATGAGCATTCCGTGGGAGTCGAGAGTGTTGCTCCTCCTCTTCCTCCTCCTCCTCCTCCTCCTTCTCCTTCCATCTCCTTTAGTCCTCCCCTTTGTGTTATCGTCGACATAGCATGCTCTGCTCCTGCGTTCATCTGATCCGACCCGACGGCCGGCAGTGTAATTGCCACCTCTTCCTCTCCCTCTCCCTCTCCCTCAGCGCCGCAGCCCTCCTTTTCAAACTCCGCCATATACGTCCCGATCGTGACACCCATCATCCTTTTAAACACGCGGCACAGATAACTAGGCGTCACCCCGGCCTCCTGCGCCAGATCCTTCAGGCGGAGCCTCATGTGCGGGGCGCCGGAGGAGGGGGAGGAAAGACCCGCCGGTTGCACGCGCAGGAGCGCGATGACCCGCGCCACGAGGCCCTCCCTCTCCCCGACGAAGCTCGCGCAGTCCGGTTGACAGCGCTTGCACGGCCGGAAGCCGGCGGCCCGCGCCTGCTCGGCCGTGTCGAAGAACTCGACGTTGGCTCGCCGCGCCAGCCGCGCGGCGCAGGTCGGGCGGCAGTAGATCTTGGTCGACTTGACGCCGTAGATGAAGGCGGAGTGCGAGGAAGGGGCGCGGTGCGTGAGGGCGAGCCAGCGGGCATGGGATGAGGAGGAGGGGGAGTTACTGCTCTGGAACGACGAGCAGTGGTCGGGTCGGTCCGAGGTGTTGAGGGTTGCAGGTCGCATGGGGTCCATATTTATGATACGTAAAACTGCGGTGGGAGGGGGGGAGTAGGAGAGATTATTTTGTTGTTTTTCTCTTTTTCTTTTCTTTTCTTTTCTTTTCTTTTCTTTTTTTTTCGTTTTTGATATTGTTTATCCCTTGATTTTGATCGGGCGATTGTAGGTATTGCCAGTGGCCAAAACTCCCTAAAGAGTTGGTGAGGCAGTTGGAGAAGGAGGGGGTGATTTGGTACTGTAGGTAGGCAGGTTAGTTAATCGCCTGGGCTATTAGAGGGATCACTGGGGGATCACTGACTGGGTCGACTCCCCTTCCAAGTTGTACGGTACGTACTGAACACAGCTACATAAACTCTTCTCAATACTCATATAGAACATTAGCTATGTAATTAATATGATCCCTTTCATATATTACATCCATGATCAGCTTAAACATTTGTTATTAAATATGCATAAAATAAGGCATGACCTTCTACAATACTTTTTTGTCATTGGTCAGCCGCGCAAAGGTTTCTCCCATTCCGCCCAATTCGCGCGGCTTCCAAATCCCGAGTTGCTTCTTTTCATCTTCTACAACCACTCTCATCAATCCAATCGGCCTTGTATGGGCGAAGGAATATGAATCGCAATGTCACAGAGCTTTGCAGTCTTCGATGATATACTGCCCGCAGTATGTTTTCTACGCTCCCCCCTACTTCCTGGCCCCATTTTCTCGCGCATCGGTCTAGACCTCTGGGCTGACGCAATGTCTTAGTGCGATCTATGCCATTCTAAAAAGGTTTGGTCTGGCACTATATCCCTGACCATCCATAATGTACTCACACAGCCGGCAGATTAGATGTAATAGACAGAGAAACTGCTCGGGCTGCGTAGACGTTGGTGTCGAGTGCCAGCGTCTTCGTCGCGGAAGGACATCGCGGAAACGATCTTTCACAAGGTTCGCAACCTCGGTGGCCCACAATTAGTACCACGGTCACCGCTAAGTCACTGTTCACTAGTGCCACTGGACCACCAGAAACAATACTTCGCCTGGAAAGACCCGTAGCTCAGCCTCAAGGGTGCAAGCTCTTCCCCAGACTCTTGCCATCATCCCAGCCGGCTGACCAGTGAATAGGGCTAGACAAATCAACCTAGGAGCGAGCCTGGAGACAAGATCGGAGGAAAAGAGACCCTCCAAGCAGCCACGAGCTGACATGCCGGGCGAACATGACCAGACCTCCCGTGGTGACCTCAATTCGCCTGCTGGCACTGACAGCTCGAACTATCACGCGGTGCAAGCCAGAAGTATCATTGAAGTGGTACTCGATGACTGTCGACATATCAGCCATGAACAGCAGTCTGTTCTCAAGGCCGCGCTCGATCTAGTCAGTCAGATGGCGGACGCGGCGCCTGTGGAATCAAGCACATCTGCCGAAGAGGGGTTCTCTGTAGATCCCAGCATTGCGGTCCCAGAGGCCCCGCCGCAAGAGCTGATCTTCATGCTGCTTCCTGGTAACTATAGTCTGTCTCATCGTACACCATTATCAACTGATTGTCTCCAGGGTCAACAAGTAGGGAAGGTTATCAGTGGCCCGACCATATCTCAGAAGAGTCATTTGAAAGAATGGCTGCGGAAGTACTTGATGAGAACTGCAAGGGCCAGGTGTTCCACCGACTCTGCGTCTGCATTTACGTTAAGGCAATATTCCACTTCTTCAACTTGGCCAGAAGCACCAGCAGCTCCACGCTTAAACGGCGGCTCTTTCACTCCGCCTCCACCTACATAGCTGCAGCAGTGCAGAGCATTCACAACCTCGACATCCTCGCCCCTCCAAGCCTTCTTTTCATACAGGCTCTACTGTCTAGCGTGAGTCGTGTGCGCAGGTCAAAGGTGCCAACAAGATCATTAACGTGCTCCGCATCTAGGCCCTGCTGATGCAACATCTGGGTCGAGTCAACCAATGTTGGATACTCAACTCGTATTGCGCTCGTCAGATCACAGCGCTCGGCTACCACAGGACTCAAGACAGCCCCTCACCCTCCGCGGTGCAGAAAGATATCCACAACGCGTTGCTGTGGTGTTTTTTCCTCGACAAGTCACTTAGTTCCCTTATGGGCCGACCCACCTCCCTTCCGGACCTTCTGGTTCCTCCAACAGATCTCGTCGGCTTCGACTCCTCACTACCATACGGCTCCCTCTTTCGGACCTGTCTTGAGATTGCTCAAATCCAAGGCGAACTACTCTCCATACCCGCTCACGAGAAACGCAAATCAAGCCGACAAATCATGGAAGTCATCGACAGTCTCGAGACCAGGATGCGACGACTCCTCCCAGACTTGCAAGGCGTAAGGCTTTCTACAACCCGCATCGTCAACATTCGACTAACACCAGGTGTATACCCCCGCAGAACCGCAGCTCAACCCACAGACCCATAGAGCTGGACTGGATCGGTGCCGATTTCTGCTACTATGCCGTGCTCGTGGAGATCTACCGGACCCGACTGCGGTGCTCCTTCAGCCCGATGGTCCACAAGGAGACCTTGCTCTGCGCGCGACGATCGCTGGAAGCCTTCCAGTATCTCCAGCAGCACCACGCCGAGATGCCGGGCTTCAACGACCCATACCCGTCGTTTCTCACATGGTGTGTACAGTACCACACCGACAAACATGGATAAATTACGTACGGTCACTGATACAAAAGGCACAAGGACCTTGCTGTTCTACCCATTGAGCCCCTTCTTCGTTCTCTTCTGCAACATCATCGGCTCCCTGGACCGATCCGATTACGACCTGGTGCAAAGCATCGTCAAAACCCTGTCGCAGTCCAAGCATGATCCGCACCTCCAGAAACTCCTCGACCTCTTGACGTCGCTTGCACGCCTGTGCGAGCCGCTGTTCCAGACCAACGATGCTGGGGATGGGGCTGTATCACAGGGAGTGGCTGCTGGCATCTCACCTGCTCGCATACCGTCAACGCCGGCAGTGGCCCGTGCCGCGACGAATGGGGGCATGGACACAGGTCATACCTCTACCCAAGAGGGCTTCTTGGCCCACGGCATGAACCAAGAGGCTTCAGGGATCTTGGACCCCGGAAGTAGTGCGTCGAGCGACTGGCTTATGTGGCAACTGTTCAATACGCAGATGCCGTTGGGTTGGATGAACCCCGAGTTCGCTGCGTACGGGTTCAATTAGGGGTATTGAGGGATGTCTTGGAGAGACACGAGGAGCTCTGGTATGAGCCGTTGGCGAGGATGTGGAAGGAAGTAACTTGGTCTGGATGCTTGGGTATGTAGCTAATACTCTTGAAAGCACGTGTGAACGGTGCAGCACCGAAAGTCGAATGCCACCGGGTTCAACTACGCATACAGGTTCCTACGTCGACACTTTTACATCTTTCCTGAGCAGATCCTTGAGATCTCTCGCTAAGATCGTGACTCCGACAAGCTGTAGTGTATAGTGGACCTTCATCGATTGACAACGACCGAGGACGAACAAGAAGATTCCAACGTTTTTGATGAGAATGACAAATTCGTTAGAGCATTTGATATCTACATGCCTTTCCCAAAGCATCGCTAGCCGAAGGGGCAAAGCAAACTTCCCCCAGAGACGCCGACGCCCCCTTGGCCCCTTGGCCCCTTGGCCCTTCCCCTCCCCCTCAACCCACCAAACCTACCCCATCATCCGCACCACAACATAAACCCACCCATCGCCATACGCCGAACACCGCACCAGCTCCTCCACCGGCGCCGCCATCGGCACCGCCGCCCCATGGAGCACCGGCTTCGCCAGCACGGGCGTCCTGCGACTGGGAAACAGATTCGGCAGCAGCGCATGCAGCGCCGACCCGACCGTCTGGATCTGCGGCGATGCCCGCGCGGCGGCCATCATCGACTGACTCGCGGCGATACTCATCGTCGACGCGGCCGCGGACGATGCCGACGACGGGGCGATCACCGGCGGAATGGGCGACTGGACGACCTTCAACGAGGGGGAGTCGGAGTCCGGGGGCAACGGCAGGAAGAAGCGGACGGGGACGTTGCGGAAGGGTTGGTTGGGCGGTGGGAGGAGGATGTTGGATATCCGTTGGAAGGAGGGGAGGTCCACTAATTCTCCATCTTAGTGTCTTCTCTCCAGATATATATACCAAATGCAATCATACTGTCTCAAGAAGAACTCGGGGGAAGATAGGGGCATGCATACCATCTCTCACCGCCGTCCACAGCCCCGCGGAATCCTCCTTCGACAGCGCCATGATCCCCTTGGCCGTGCCGTTGCGCAGGAAATCCGCCTCCTTGACGCTGTTGATGAACGCGTCGTGCATGACCATCCCGTCGGCGTCGAGCCGCACCAGCTCCTCGTCGGGCCAGTCGCTGAAATGCACGGTCAGCCGCCAGGGAAGGGGGTCCGCGTCTTCGTCAGCGGCGGAGGGGGAACCACCACCACCACCACCACCCTTAGAGGCCGGGTCGGCGCCCGCGTAGAGGTCATACAGGAGTCCGACGGGGTAGTGCCATTTCAGGGGGACGCCCTCGAAGGAGAACCAGCCTTCATGCGGGCGGGAGGTGGGGTGGATGAGGGCCGATGCAAAGAAGTCCCGCAGTCGGGGCAGGAGAGAGGGGAGGTACGCGAGGCGCGGGTGGGCGATCTGTTTGGGCCTTTTGTTAGCGTGACCCGGACAGTAAGAGAACCCCGGAGGAGCAGTACAAGATACGGGTCCGTCTGGTCAAAGGTCCGGCTTTCGGACGGGGCCAGGGTAATGTGCAGCGGCAGTTTGCCGTCCCAGACGGCTTTCTGGATACTGCTGAGTGATGACGATGATGATGATGACGGTGATGATGCTTTGGGATCCATGCTTGGTGGGTATGTATCGCGCTCTTTGGCTTTTTAGATCTACGGAACTGGGTTAGCTAGTTGTTTTACTTTGGTCGAAGATGTATCAGGACTTAGGTTCTGGAAGTGTACCTAGGTATTGATGATTCATCCAAACCAAGAGGCAGGCCGTACGGGACGGGACTACAGCGCCCAATCGACTAACAACGGTGTTTTACCCCGCAGAGTCGACGCATGGCCGTTCAGCAGATGCTGGTGATGTTTCGAGATAGAGCAAGATCCTGCCCGGGAGGTTCAAGTCTATTGATTTGCACAAAAACCAGAAAACATGTAGCCTCGTGTAGATCGAAGCGAAAGTGATGGTGGAGGTGTTGCAATCAGTCAAACCTACAGGCGGATATACGGCCATCTTCCCTAACAAGGATTAGGCACCACGTGATGGGGCTGGGTGCCTGAGGCATAACTTGGCCTCCATACCAAGTATACTCTCGGCGAAAACCACCACAATCAACTCCAGTCACAACTCTGTAGTCGATCCATGACCTTGTCGACTCTTCACATTGTTTGCCCTACTCTCTCACTTCACTACGATAGCTATCTTTCGGCTCTCTCAAATAACCCTTAGCAGCCAATCAGACAAAAGCCATGAATGATAGCAGCATCCCCCGTGTCACGAGCCTCCAGGTATACAAACCAGCCCGGAGAGACTACTGCGTAGGAAAATTTTGTGTCTCTCGACTTGGTACCTGGAAAAGGGCCAGATCAGAGCAGTCTCAAGAGACTCTGCGATAGCACTCTTGTGCTCGATGCTTGTATTAGATCGTTGCCACTTCAAGCCTCAGAGCCCAGAGCCCAGAGCCCGCGGCCTCGAGCGAGACCGCCCCTCCACCGCAACGACAACCATAACACTCGCCTAGATAGGAGATTAATGCACGGTGCTCTGTCATCCGACACAGCCTCTCGAGAAGTCCCTCAAAGGCAGTGATCAGATCCAGCCCGATAACTGGAGCGATCCGCAGAGCATCGACGTCTCGCGACAGTGCCTTGCTTTAGTTGTCGACCATCCGGAATTGCAATGCTGCATGCATCTGCAGTATGCAGCGGATCATCCATGGGATCAGGAACGGGCTGCATGCATCCACAGCCCGGATTCTGTAAAATAAACCTGTTGCTGGTGGGGGGAAGGGGGGGCATTGGATTGGCTGCATCCGAGGATAGCCGACTGACGACCTGCATGGGATAGTCAAAAGCTAGCTCTGGAGGGCAAGCTCCTTCTTGGTTTCGAGCGAAGCTCTGCAATCGAGTCAGACGGTCTCTGGTCTCTGCTGGGAAGGACAAGAGCTACGCCAACCCTCCCGTTGCCTTATCAGTTGCCTTGCATCGTTTTACAGGCTCCACCCTTGTGATCGTATCCTTCTAGTAAGGTGTTGCTCGTCGGCTCCGACCATGTGGGCACAGGCATTCTAGATTTATGATTCAGATGTGGGGCAAGGATAGGGATCTACGCGTGTGGTTTGAGTCACGATAGGCTTCTTTGCATCGCAGTGTAAAATTCTCTCAATAGTCAAATGCCGGATTTGTGGACGTGCGGACGTTGACAGCCTTGTTACCCTGAAATCAGGCTAAGTTTCCTCAATCGAGTGAACTTCGACAACTGGATGCATGCTTGTCTCTGCATGACAAGTGAATATCCTGCCTTGGCTTGCAGCCTGCTTGAAATCACCCGCGAACATGGATCACGCGCCTTGAAATGTCGAAACGATCAGGTGAGCGCCCATGCCTTATCTCATGCGTCTCCACGATCATGAACACCTGATGGGACGGCAAAAGCCGTTATCGCATTCTTGGGTATATAACACGAGAAGCGTGGGGTTGAGCCAGCCATGCTGCACTCGAGACCCACTGGCTCATCAGACGAGCCTACTGCGCATTCTGAGTCACTGGCAGCATCGGAAGCCTGCAGATATCACATCAATGTCATCATCAATTGCATTTCTCTGCCAGATGTCCAGCACATGCTACCCATCGTACCATGAGTTTCTGCAGACCGCATCACGCACCGGCCCAGAATCACAATGCGCTCCATCATGTTGGACTGGCATTCGGTCGAGAGAGCCCATTACTGCTGCATTGCATTTGCATGGATGACCCCGTGTTGCATGCTAGCAATTTTTCTATAGACCCGATGAGTCTGATATGGCGTACGCGTGCTGACAGCTGAGACATGCGCTAGCGTAGCGCCATCGAGGTCCACTCTTGGGATTGTATCTCTGGGCCTAGCGAACAATGACCAGGTATGTCGGGCTGACAAGACATGTTTCATAGCCTTCGAGGGTCAGGCATCAGCGCATTCGTCCATTGTAGCTCCCTCCAAAGACAGTAAGAAGAAGCGAAAGTGTTTCGCGCTCGTGGATAAGCAGATGTGATGCACTAAAAGGCAAGCCCCGCCGTTCATAGAATGTCGTGAGGAACTATGTGCGTATTCAAGACTGTTAGCTCCACTTGAGAGTCGTCACGAACCATTCAAGGGTCCAGGGACTGGCTGGTGAAAGGTGATCAGTGCTAATCAATTCTCAGCCGGATGAACCCGCGAGTCATCACATATTCCACATTCTTTAAACAGGAACCGATACGAAGTCGACGTATATCGGAAGTCGGACCTCTTCACTTGGAGATGTCTGTGTAACGTGTCTAAGCCTCCCCAACATTAGCAGAGGCTGAGTACTCATTCTTCGCTTCTTGAGAACCTTGTTAATTAAAGGGGGTGCTGGTGGCTAGTCGGACACTCGGAGGTTGAAGGGGGCGCGGCCTCGGGAAATAAACCTATTATTTCCTCCTACAAATGAGACCTGTTTGTAGGCTCAGAAAAAGGGAGGTAAATCATTGCCTAAAGTGTAGGCCGTGGGTGCATGCCTGACGGGAAAAGGAGAAGATGCAAAGGGCGGAAAGGCAGCAACAAAAATGAGGTACGGAGTACTCCGTACAAAGAATCACGAGCAGCCGTCTTAGACCTGCATGCACTGAAAGAACTCATCAGTGTTGGCGTCATCTCGTCCCTGTCGGTTGACGTACAGACCTTTGCGCAGCTGTTTCATCTACCCTGCTGCGCATGTAGGCGGGAGTGACGACTACTTGTCATGCTCATTTGGTGGCGGTTGAAAGGGGCCGCGTGAAAAAGGAACGGAAGAGGCCAAGAGGAATGCTTTTTGCGGATTGAAAAAAGCAAAAGCGTGATGCATAGGTAGTCAATGGGAGAGAAATGCAGGAGAAATAATCATCCTCCGGAAGTCCGGCCACGCCGTTTCATACGCTCTCATTGGGACAAGATCGACGAGGCGCGGTCCTAGAGCCGACAAGCGCCAGAGTTGGTGTGATGTGTGCTAAATTGAGTTGACTGAAGATTGCGTTCTCAACTCCAAGAGCCATGCGATGAATCCAGCCCCTGGCGAGCAGTCGCTCCTTACCGTTGAAGGTCCATATGTTGCTTTCGGCACGGCAGCTGCCATTCTCCGGCTCGGTTCGTAACATGGCAGCGTGGTTCCGTACACGCGAGGTGATCCGAGTGATTTGTAGCATCGCCAAGCTCGCAGACCATTTTTTGAAGTCTTCAGCTGGCTTTGACTAATCGTAGAATCCTCAAGCTTCCCTCGATCACCCTCACAGCAGATAGTAGCTGGTATGGTCTCTCAATCTCACCGGGTGAACAACACATATGAATTCAAGGTTTAGTTAGGCTAGTGGGGACCGCCAGATTCCTGCCAAGGAAAGCTCAGACCAGTTGATTATGATGTTGGTGGATCATCGCTAAGAGAGATAAGGTTGCCAGAGCTTAGGCCAAGCATGCCTTGCAAGGGAAAGCAATCGTCTCGACGCAGATACTAATCTCGATTAAACAGACAAGGCGTACGGTAATGGCCTTGTAAGACAGGCAGCACAGGGGTATTGTCTGCGTCCAATTCTCTCTAGGCAGGGGAATCGTCGAACTTGGTAACAAAGACCATGAGCTTGTTCAGTTTCGGGTTGAGGATAGAAACCCGCTTCAAGGGCAAGCAATGCATCGATCAATCTCTCGGAGCTGCGTCCGAGATAGTCCATATCCCCGCGTTATGTTTCTCGCAGAGCACGGAGACTATTGATTCCGACACCTGCCCGCGGAAAAAGCAGCAAGGGGTGACCGTAACCGGAGCGAGCGTATTCAGGGGGGTGAGAGATAAACAAGTGAAACACAAAAGAAAACCACCCGGAGGAAGTTAGTGGTGGAAAAGCCTGTTGCAAGCCCCTTTCGGCTCCCGTACCCGAAAGCCCTGAGTTTATCCAACTTTTGTGCTGTGCACTAGCATAAATAACGCCTTTGCGACGCGAACCCAGCGTTGTGGTAACCCCATGCTCAGGAGGCAGCCAGGATCGCTGCCGTTCACCAATAAGGTACAATGTGCTCTGTCCATTGGTGCAGGGTTCAGCTCGTGAGAAATCCATAGTTCGCCATTATTTGCTGTAGTTGCTGTAGTCATATCGGGCACCGGGATTTGCAGCCAATTATAGCACTGCCAATTGCTTTTTTGGCGGTCCACCTCAGCACATTTCTCGCGTGATCCCGTCGTAAAAATCCCCTTTTTGACCACCAGACTGGAATGAACAGCCGTACTTTGAGGCGTACACGCACTGTCCGGCGGCAGCAAGCTAGGGTAGAACGAGGCTTAGCTTTGAAGACTCCCATTCCGGCGCAGCACACAATCAATCGTAAAATTTCAGGAGCAACGCTTAGCCAGGGTCGTGATGTCAGCATAACTGGATTCCCTCACAAGGAGGAATGCAGAAAAAAATCGACAAGATCAAAGGTGATCAGTAGCCAAGCCAAAAGACAGATAGTTCCGAATTTTCAGCCGACCGAAGAGAGGGCAAAGCTGAGAGTAGCCATACTCGTCGACTTTCTCTAACCTATAGGCATTGTGGTAGAATTTAGTTTAGCTACGCCTGCACCCTGAGTCATTGTCATCTGCCAGGTCGTGCCAAATGTACGTACGTACATACGTTGTCGCCAATGCCATGATACCGTTATTCTGTCGGAGGCACAGGGGCCGTTAGCTTACGACGTAGCTAATCGTGGCTGAATAAGGTTAAGGCCGAAAACAAGGTAGGAGTAAGGTGGGAGGTGCAGCAGCGTGAGAGAGCCAGGGCGAAAAGCACTGACGCTGCCATCCCCTGGGGCAGTGCGTGATTACTCTGATGGGATCGACCCCGTTTTGACCAGATCGGTGGGTCACAGCCGATTCGCAGAGATCTCAATCCCTGATCCCTTTTCACTTCGGTGTAAGTCGTGTGATCCCTGGTCTCAGATTGCGCTCGAGACCATGACATTGATGGCATCTGCGTCAGTACGGGGCGGTCCCCGGCTCCACAAGGCCTAGATTCATGACACAACCCTCTCAAGCGGAGTGCGAGAATCGCATGTCGAGGTTTCAGCCCTTCCGACCCCCTGCCCGGATGCCTTGGACAGCCAATAACAAGCGCCGTTGGCTGGTTGTCATGACCAGCATAGCATCTGAGTATGCATGCTGAATGATCAGTTACTCCCTCATTGGGTTCATGTGCCCGATGTGCGCCATGCTGACGATCGTTCATAGGTTCCCCGGAGTACGCCTATCGAGCTCAACCATGCAGAATCCGACTCATGCGTCTATCCTCCCTAAGCTGACTCGGTAATCATTTCCCTAGACGCTGGGGACAACCCGAGCTCCCCTTGTTTTACTATCGTCTAGTTGGACGCAGCAGCTCGACAGATCTCGATCGAAAACTTTAGCTACCATTCGTGGCACATAGGGAGGGACACAAACGGTAACTCCGGGTCCTTCCTTGAACTCCCAGGCCGTTCAAAACCGGTTTGCCTTGCTCGTGGTGAAATCACAAGTCGCTTGCGAGAGACGAACCGAAGATCTCTATCTTCCTATGTCACACAAGTTACGTTGCGCAAGGCCTCCTCTTTCCATCTTCACACGACTTTTGTGGCTGTAATCTCACCACTTTCGATCCCGGGCCGTTGTATCCCAGCTTGCGCCAAAGTCATCCTGGTCTATTTTTGTTTCATATTCTCTGTTTCACTCGTCAGCGTCAGTAAAGCTTGATGCTTGGTAGTCTCGTTGGGTATATAAAGGCAGATTTCGACCGTCCTTGCTTGATATCATCAGCATCAGCAAACCCCACAAACCTACCTCTACCACAACACTTATATCCACACATCACAGTTCATTGACTGAACGACTTGCCTCGCCTTGAGTACCTGCAAACTATTCCAGGATATCCTTAAGCTGCGACCTTCTATATCTCACATCTGTCACCGCCGAGATCAACCCTATAACAGGCAATCAGCAATGTCTTCCGAAAACAAGCAAACACAAAAGTTAGTCATTCATGTCACTCTTGCTGCTCTGCCCATGCTGATAGCTGTCAATAGAACTGGCAACGGAGTCAGCAACAGTCTCAGCGCTGAGAATCTGAGCCGCATTCCGGATGGCACCAGCGGAGGTATAGTGGAGCGCTTCACGCAGTCCCCAGCAGCGGACGAGCCATACTTTGCGCGAGCACGAATGCATGATCGCTCCGAGCACGCGTCACGGCTCTCGAGCCAGCTCGAAGCGACAGAAAAGGTTCTGGGGAAACGATAGAGATGCTTGATCGCAGGTCACAGTATTATGCGAATATTTGAAACGTGAGCAGGTATGAATAGCAGGAAGATTTGTCTATGTACAGAGTCTATTAGAGATCTTGTTCATCGCAGGGCGCTGCAGAACAGCATGTATCGGGAAGATGAGAGAGATATGTCGGGGTCATCATAATAGGGCCATTCCCTTCAGATATTTTCATTTGTCGAAGCATTGAGCTGCAGAAATTCCATCATGTATTGAGCCACATCATCGTACTTTGTGCTTGGAAACTCATGGCCCGCATCGTATGACTTAAAGCTCGCGAGGCCTTGTAGCGCTGCAGTGGCATCGGGCACGAGATCGTCTTTCACAATGACTGCGTCGTGCTCACCATACATGATGAGAACCTTGTCATGAGGAAGACCGGGAATTGCATCCGAGCCGGCCTTCTTCCCCGCGGCAAGCCAGTCTCCCAGCTGCTTCCATACTTTCAGTTGGCGCTGCTGCAGAATGGGCCCAAAACGCATGCTGGACATGAAGGCATGCACAAAACCGGGATGCTCATCCACCTGCCACTTGACTGTGCTGGGGACATTCACATGTGGGTAAGCCCGAGACAATCGCTGTACCTCCGTGGCACCTTGATCGGGAAGTTCTTCGACCAACGCATCTTCTGCGCTGAGCTTCTTGTTCGCAGGCTTGGATGTCAACGGACCTGCGCGTAGGCGACGGCGGACGAAGAATTTCAGTAGTTTCTCTGGTATCCAGTCGTGCGAGTAGAGCAGCTGAGATTGGAAGCTGATCCGAGAATCACGAATCAAACCAGCAGGCGCAAGGAGAACCAGCGAGGAAATAGCCTGAGGATGGAAAGCCGCAAAATTCGCCGCGATACCGCCGCCGAGTGAGTAGCCGACCAGGCAGAGATCCCCAGGCTTCTTGAAGATAGGCGACGAGTTGATGGCAGACCAAATCTGCCGATTCCACAATGTGCCATCCTGTGGCAGATCTGAGGGACAATCGGAATAGCCTCTTCCGAAACTAGAGGCGCCTGTTAGTAATCCTTATTGTGGCGCCGTTCGGCAGTTCACCTACAGATCGAAAAGCATTACACGGCACCCTCGATCGACCAGGGCATGGGCCAACCCGCCTAATGCAATACAAGGGGTCGTAATGCCGTGGATCAGAAGGACCCTGGGGCCTTCCTCCGGGCCCCACTCATATACACGCATTGAGCCACCAAAGCTGGTGGGAACATCCCGGGCCCCGGGAAGAACGTCGATAGGCAGAGGAAGTTCGCGGTTTTCCGCATCCGACAAGGCCTTAACCTTGTCCAGAGGGGAACGATAGACATTCCCCTCCGGCTGAGAGTCCGATAGAAACGAGCGCAGGATAAAAGCCGCAGTCAACGAGGCCCCTGTCGCGGCCAGGAGGGGAAGTTGGCTGCGGTGGCTTGCCAAGAAATCGGAGAGTGAGTCGACGGTCTGATTGTACCAAGCCATGTCTCTTGTCTATGAATGATGTCTATGATATAATCCAAAACTACAAGAAAGAAGAATGCAAGGGGTGGGCTAAAAGTGGAAAAAGAAATGCAGACTGAATAGAATGGAAATCGAGCAAGAACAAGAAGGTAAGAAGTTGGCAGACATCACGGGCAAGGATGTTAACCACTTGTTGGCCTTGGACCGACTATTCCTCTTCGGGCCAAAGGATTTTGTCACCGGGACTCCGATAAGAGATAAGCCAAGTCATGTGCCATCCACAGCCGAGGCTTCTTCCCTTCCACAGGCATCAAACAGCAGTCAATGTCTCTTCATAGTCATTAGAGCAGACAAATCTCTACGGAATACTCAATCAAGCTATGTTGAGAAGAAGAAACAGTGGTCTTTGTTCTTACCTGGAAGTTGTCATGTGAGACATCTTCTCGTTCGTATCTGTCGACCCACTCATGATCGATATTACATATCCTCAGACCGAAGCATAGGTACCCTAGCCAAGGACCATCTAGAGGCTGAATCGGACGACAGGGATGGCTCAATGCCGATAAATCATCAATTCACTCCAGGCAGTCGTGACCTAGGAAAGAAGAAAATCATGTGGAGGATACCCTGACCGACAATACCCATGCACAGTACCACGAGGGTACACCATCTTAGTTAACATGTGAGGTATCAACGTTCGCCAAGGCCTTCTTGTCTATGCGCGTGGGTAAAACCAATTCGCCAAGGTTCAAAAGTCATGAGATCCGAGGGCTCTGTGCATGAGGATGTACACCAGCTTGGCAACATGCACAGCAACAGGCAACAAAAACATTGCCGAAGAAGCGCTCTCCATAGAGAATAAGACCAGTCAGCAGCAGCCTCAACAAACCTTTGAACTCCCGTCTCGACAAAAACGCGGAGATTACCTCCGTGTACTCCTGAAAAGGGCATTCCCGGCTAAATGGAGATGACTACCCACTTAAACTGGACAGCCGTTGGACGGCTTCTAGCCATAACCGGGAAGCGATCTGCAAGGTACAGCGCCATGGCTTATGCCGGCTCCCTACTATTTGGCTTGATATACCGAGAAAAATATGTGCCTCTGCCTCGGAACCACCCCCACATTAGCCGCTGTCAAAATGAGCTTCAACAAGATCAGGAAATGAAGGGATGAAAGCGGCTACAGAAACAAGTTGTTGTCTGCTGGTTCTCCGACATCGGGCGATGCATCACACCGCCATGAAACATCAAAGTGTCTGATGCCAACCCGCGGCCGCCCCTCTAGCCTACTGTGGGGAAGCTTTGATGCGAATTAAGTGAGATGAGGTGGAATGAGAAAGTGTCCAATCAGAATCGATGCTCCTATCGGCTTTGATCGGAGCCAAAGGCGCCCCCCGCTCAGCCACCTGCAACAAGGATGCTATGCCCAAGCCAAAGGTCGAGGTCATTGATGGAATCTCGTTCCCCGCATTCCGACGATCGACAAGGTCAAAGTGAATACTGAACATAATGAATTAATTGATTAGGGTCATCGATGCAGGAGGGACCGGTCGACGCCCAACCAACGCCACATCTGCCACATCGCCGTTCGTATAATGATTAACCGAACATCAATCCAATCACTTTGATAACACTCAGAATACAATTGAGACAGTTAATTCGACCCATAGCCTTGCTATTGAGCCTTTTACAACTAACCTCGGACTGAAGCTTTCTACTTTCGTTTCACGAGGAAAACAAACGATCGCTTCTTTCAGTAGAGTGCTGTTTTCAAAGTGAAACCAACCTGAGACTAAGCCCGCTCCAGAGACGAAGAATCATGGTATCAATCCTTCTGGCCTAAAACTCCGCATCCGATGCGGCATGAACAGCTAGCCAGCTTGTATAGCAGGATCGAACTCGCAGAACCAGGACATTGCAGGTGACTGAAATAGCTCGGAGTAATCTCCGGCATTGCAATCTTGAAACCCTGTGGATCAAGAAGGCCAGGTCTAAGTCAATTGAATTCAACAACACACGGTACTTGCCGCCTTTGGATCCACTTTCCGGACATGGCGAGGCGCTCACTGCCTTTCTATGAGACGGAGGTAGTTCTTGCTGCACGAAATAGGAAAGCAACTATATTCCGAAACATTCTCTCGACGGTATAGCGGTCCGTTGTACCGTTGCGAGACAGATTTGGCCTTTAGCACTATTCAAGGATGATGGCTTCCAGCGACCAACAGAGGTATAAAAGGCAAGAAATTCCCAGTCGAGTCAGTTCAACATCTCTGCAGGACAGACAATCAAACACAACCAACAATCGACTAAGCGAAGTATCCGAGAACAATGTATCAACGCGCCTTGCTCTTCTCTGCGCTCTGGAGCGCAGCTCGCGCTCAACAGGCCGGAACCTCGACTGCGGAGACTCATCCTGCTTTGACCTGGCAGAAGTGTACTGCTGCTGGCAGCTGCACAGAGCAGAGTGCTTCCGTGGTCATTGATTCCAATTGGCGCTGGGTTCACTCTGTGGAAGGCTACACAAACTGCTACACTGGGAACACTGTAAGTCGTGTGAAAGCACTAGCTCTGTTACAGCAATTGACTGACACGCTCCGCAGTGGGATGCCACTTTGTGTCCCGATGATGAGACCTGTGCTTCGAACTGTGCTCTGGATGGCGCCGACTATGAAGGCACCTACGGAGTCACCACCAGCGGTGATGCGTTGACGCTCAAGTTCGTCACCGGGTCCAATGTCGGCTCGCGTCTCTACCTCATGGACACCAGCGATGAGAAGTACCAGACATTCGACCTCTTGGACGCCGAGTTTACCTTCGATGTCGACGTGTCCAATCTCCCCTGTGGACTGAACGGAGCCTTGTACTTCACCGCCATGGACGCCGACGGTGGAGTGTCCCGATTCCCGACCAACAAAGCCGGTGCCAAATATGGAACAGGATACTGCGATTCCCAGTGCCCGCGGGATCTGAAGTTCATTGACGGACAGGTCAGTATCAGTTACCCACTGGGCTACCGCCTCAAACCAGGCTGACGTTAGATGAAACCAGGCAAATGTGGAAGGTTGGACCCCCTCAACCAGCAACTCCAACTCCGGGGTCGGCAACCACGGCTCCTGCTGCCCGGAGATGGACATCTGGGAAGCGAACAAGATTTCAACTGCATTCACTCCGCACCCCTGCGACTCAGCCACCCAGGTAATGTGCGAGGGCGACGCCTGCGGCGGAACCTACTCCTCCAGCCGTTACGCGGGCACCTGCGACCCCGACGGGTGCGACTTCAACACCTACCGTATGGGCAACGAGACCTTCTTCGGCCCCGGGCAGACCGTCGATTCCAACTCGAAGATGACGGTCGTCACCCAGTTCATCAAGGGCAGCTCGGGCTCCCTGTCCGAGATCCGCCGCTACTACGTGCAGAACGGCAACGTGATTGCCAACGCCGCGTCCGACATCAGCGGCGTCTCCGGCAACTCGATCACCTCCGACTTCTGCACGGCTCAAAAGACGGCCTTTGGAGACGAGGACATCTTCGGCGACCACGGTGGACTCACCAAGATGGGCGACGCCCTCTCGTCCATGGTCCTCATCATGAGCTTGTGGGACGACTCCTACTCCAGCATGGAGTGGCTGGATAGCCACTACCCCACCAACGCGACGGTGACCGACCCCGGTGTTGCCCGCGGCACTTGCGAGACCGGCGAGGGTGACCCCAAGACGGTTGAGGCGGCGCACCCCGACGCTTCCGTCACCTTCTCCAACATCAAGTTCGGCCCGATCAACTCGACCTTCAGCGCTTAGATGGCGGAACTCGAGTCGAGTGTCGAGTGAGCTCAGCGGCGAACACATCGGGCCGGCTCCTGATGTGATGCAAAACAGTCCTACCCTGGCCAACGAGAATGTCGCCCAGTACATGGCTACTTTTACATCTCCTTTGCGGTTTCTCCGTTCGTTTCTGCTCATTGTTCTTCCGTGACTTTTCTGAATTTGATCTTCTCTTGGATTCTGTATATACATAAATGGAAAAAGAATTATCCCGGGTATAAGACTAAGGCCAAATCGAAGTATAGCGTGTAGCAGGAGGATTTTGGGCAGGAACCTTGCTCATAGGATCATCATAGTCCGCATCCTGTCACGACAACTCGCAATAGCCTGCTTTCGAAATGACTATTATTTTGGTATGTGCGAGAAGAATTCAGAGGGATTATGCATGGAAGAGACAGGATGACATGAACACTCAGAACAGAGCCCAAATTTTGATTAAACTTGTCTACTTGACTCAAATTTGTAATATTCTCTGTACTGTTGAGGGCTGGGTCATATTGGATTAGAAGTGTGGACTGGAGACAATGGCGTAGACTGACCGGTCAGTCGGCACTATCAGAAGCAATTAAATCCGTAGAGCTCTTCACCCATTGGAGCCTGAACTGCTAGTCTCTTGGAATTCGTAAATGTCAGCTCAACCTGTTAGCTCCTATGGAGCGTTGCTCTGAAGTCAGAGTGGACTAGAAGTGAATCCTCGTACCCAGAAGCAAGAAGCTGTCTCGATACCCAGCGTCTAGTCCCGTGCCAATGCGCCTGCATTCACACGGCAGCGGCGATAAGCGGCTTATCAGCTGTCAAGCTACCGGAAGATTGACCGGAAGATCGGTCGGCCCGCCTCCATCAAAAGTCGGAGCTTGCGGCCGGCACCAGAGACAAATCTACTTGGGAGGTAGCTCTTTTGAAAAAAGGTCATAGAGGAAAGTCTATACGAGTGGGATAATTCAGGTCCATTGCCTCAATTGCCGACCCGTCCACACACAAAATGTTCGACACGGTCTGTACCTTGCCGCTGTCGGCAGATCTGTTCTCGCAGGCCATCCACCCAAACGAACCCATCGTCTCCGTTGGTCTTGCTACGGGCCATGTCCAGACCTACCGACTCCCCTCTGAGGAGGCGGACAGCGATGATGACGGGGCCTCGACGTCTTCGTCCCGCAACGGCAAGGGCCACATCGACACCATGTGGAGCACGAGACGACACAAGGGCAGCTGCCGGTGCTTGACTTTCGCGCTGGACGGCGAGACCTTGTACTCCGCTGGCACGGATGGGTTGGTCAAGGCCGCGAAGGCGGAGACCGGGGTGGTGACGAACAAGATTGCGATCCCCACGTTAAAGGATGGGTAATGGATCTTCTTCACGTGCCAATTGGGACATCATGTGTCTCATGAGGTCAATTGATGCTCAATTGTCAGCGCAATTGCTAACGCAAGGCTTTGGGGCCACTATTCAGATCCGTCGACGCCCCCACCATCGTGAACGCTCTTTCGCCTCAAACCCTCCTCCTTGCCACCGACTCCAGCGCCCTTCATCTCTACGACCTCCGCACCCCGTTCTCCAAGGTCTCCGCCAAGCCGCAACAAACGCACCACCCCCACGACGACTACATTTCCTCGCTCACCCCGCTCCCCGCGTCCGATACCAGTACCTCTGGGTTCAGCAAGCAATGGGTGACCACGGGTGGCACGACGCTGGCCGTGACGGATCTCCGTCGGGGCGTGCTCGTGCGCAGTGAGGATCAGGAGGAGGAGCTGATCAGCTCGGTGTACATCGGCGGGCTGGCCACCAGCGGGACGAGCCGCGGCGAGAAAGTGGTGGTGGGTGGCTCCAACGGCGTGCTGACGCTGTGGGAGAAGGGTGCCTGGGACGACCAGGACGAGCGCATCTACGTCCAGCCCCGCACCGGTGGCGCCGACTCGCTGGAGACGCTGACGGTCGTGCCGGAGGAGCTTGGCAAGGGCAAGATGGTCGCCGTGGGTATGGGTGGCGGTGCGGTCAAGTTCGTCCGGATCGGCAACAACAAGGTCATCTCGGAGGTCGTGCACGACGAGACGGAAGGCGTGATCGGCTTGGGATTCGACGTCGAGGGGCGCATGGTCAGTGGTGGCGGTCAGGTCGTCAAGGTCTGGCATGAGGCGGTCGGGTCCAGCGGCGCGAATGGATCCCACCTGGGCGACAAGCGCATGTACGGCGACAGTGATGATAGCGATGATGATGACGACGTTGACAGTGATGCGGGATCCGGCGATGATAGTGAGGAAGAGAGACCCCGCGCGGTGCAGCAGAAGAAGCGCAAGAAGGGCAAGGGAGCCAAGGGAGGACAGCAGATCATGGCCTTTGCCGATATGGACTAAGTGATACCCCCGCCCACCAGAAAGATGGTACTGTACGGTGACATCGAGTGGACAAATGAAATATAGCGATGCTCGCCTCAATGACCCCAAGTAGGTCGCGAGGATGATATAGCAGAGAGACCAAGTATACAACGCTTTAATATGAATTAAGCTATCTTTCCAAGGGTCTACGCTGCTTAGCGGTCGACTCGGCTAAGATCAGGCCTAGTCCTTTAGCTCCATAAGCGCTACTTTTAGCGTGTGCCCGATACTAACGACTGCCCGCACGGCTGCATCCGGGAAAGGAGAAAGGCAGAACATACTGTACATTAGCAACGTCTGCATTTCTGCTGGTTCACGCGGTGTCAAAGATGGATGACCGGCTGAGGAGAAGGGTTTACAAGTATGGTGTCTCCAACTTGGCAGTGGTGATGTGAATGTATGCACTGAATAGACATTCGGGGTGGTGAAGAATGATAAAGCAGCTGTGGGGGAAGACTGCAATGGGCGCAGACTAGCGGCAGCGATACTGGCTTTCCGATTCAATGGATCGTGGCTACGGTTGTTGCTCCTCAGATGCGTATAGATTAAGCGTCAGTGCTTGACATAAGGATGTCGAGAGTGCACCGTCTGTCTTCTGGCGCGGCCTGCCACGGGATAATTCCTTGCCGATATCGGCAATCCATCGTTTTCTTGTTCATTCCTTTCCACTCGTGTATAAGCATGATTTAGTTAGAAGAAGGGCCAACAACAGTTGCAGTATTCATAGTTGCATGCCTTGTTGATGTTGATGTAGCAGTCAACAAGATAATCAATTCTCTCGAGAAATTGTGTAGAGTATGGAGGTACGGAATCGATAGCGGGCGAATTGCCGAAGCCCTCCACCTTCGGCGCGGGTGCGACCCACGGCAGAAGCCTTTGCCTTAACCGCCCCAATGGCTTCATGACGTTGACGACGGAAGTGGTGGGGTGTGGGGAAAATACCTTTATTATTCATGATGATCAAGCTTCGGATATCTCCCTGAGACTCGGATCCAGGCACATCTTACTAGACTATTTATATCTATCAGGATCACCCCCGAACCCTCTCATCTCTTCCCCGCTATCTTGCAATCCCAATAAACCTGCGCACCATCCACCTCCAAACCTCCACTCACCATGGATGCTTTCGAATACAATTCCAACCCCGGCCGTGTCATCTTCGGCAGCGGCACGCTCCAGAAGCTCCCGGATGAGGTTGCTCGGTTGAATGTGAAGGCCCCCTTAGTGCTTTCGACCCCCCACCAAGTCAGCCAAGCCGAGAGCGTCAAGGCCGTCCTCAACGGCCATGTCGCGGGCATCTTCACCGAGGCCACCATGCACACCCCGACCCACATCACCGACCAGGCACTGGAATACGCAAACGCGCAGGGCGCGGATGCCGTCATCTCCGTCGGCGGTGGTAGCACCATTGGCCTCGGAAAGGCCATCAGCATCCGCACCGGACTGCCGCACATCTGCATTCCGACGACCTACGCCGGCAGTGAGATGACTCCGATCCTGGGCGAGACCGCCGACGGTCTGAAGAAGACTCGCTCCGATCCCAAGATCCTGCCGGGCACGGTCATCTACGATGTAGACCTGACCATGACCCTGCCTACCGCCATGAGTGCCACGAGTGGTGTGAATGCCATCGCGCACGCTGGTGAGTTTCCAACCCTTTCCGCCCCCCCCCAATTAATTTTTAGAATCTGGATGCTGATTTAAAACCCGTGACGCGACAGTGGAGGCGCTCTACGCTCGGAACACCAACCCCGTCATCAACCTGATGGCCCTGGAGGGCACCCGTGCGCTGGCCTCCGCCCTGCCGGAGATCGTGGAGGACCCCAGCTCCCCATCGGCGCGCTCGTCCGCCCTCTACGGCGCCTGGCTGTGTGGTACGTGCCTGGGCAGCGTTGGCATGTCCATCCATCACAAGCTCTGCCACACCCTGGGCGGGAGCTTCAACTTGCCCCATGCGGAGACCCACACCGCGGTCCTACCGCACGCCATCTCGTACAATGCGCCCAAGATCCCCGAGGCCATGAAGAAGCTGGCCGAGGCCCTTCCGGAGAGCAACGGGGACGCCATCCATGGCCTCAATGTGTTGCTGTCCAAGCTCAAGGTCAAGCGCGGCCTCAAGGATTTCGGCATGAAGGAGGAGGATATCGACAAGGCTGCGGACATTGCGGTCAGCAACCCGTACTGGAACCCGCGCGAGATCGAGCGGGAGCCCATTCGTGAGCTGATCCGGCGTGTGTGGGCTGGTGAGCCGGCCCGGGCGGATTTGTAGATGGATAAGGTATCTTTCTGTATATATTTATTATTACAAGCAAGTTAAGGGTAGGCATGAGACGGCCATTGAATCCAGGTTCTATCTATGCAATTATGATTGACTTGTAAAGAATTGTGGTGAGAATGGTTTGTTGCTTTAATTCTACTTCGTATGTATGGCACCACAACCAAGTAATCCTCATGAGTGCCATTGGCTCCCCTGCGGATGGCGGGGTGAAAGTGGGGTGGAAATCCGTTGGATTTTCCTCGCAGTCAAAAATTCCGCCCAATTTCCCTCCCCACCACCTTCATCAACACCATTCTCAATTGCCAGCCCTGGGCTGCTCACGATTCTGCGAAACACCGCTCTACAATACCCCTCACCAAGGCTAACGATATGGAGGCAGCCCCCGTCCTCTCCACTCCGGATGATCGCATCCTGGAATCCACCGACCCGGTTGCGTCTCAGGAACCGAATCGCACGCTCTCCGATGAGGAGCTCTCGATTGCCTATGACATCGAACGCACGCTGAAAGAGATCCGCCAGGCACGGTATAAGCGCATTGCGCTCCAATTTCCGGATGACATGCTCCCCGATGCACCCCGGGTGTTTCAACTCCTCAGCCGCGGTCTGGACGTGACCGATGCCCCCCCTCAACCACACAGCAACGGGCAAAGCAGCACCGACGGTGCCGAACAGCTAGCGGACTCGGTTGGCCAGCTCCAGGTCGATGCGACTCCCGCGCCTGCCCCGAAACTATACATTCTGGCGGATACTTCCTACGGTACATGCTGCGTGGACGAGGTGGCCGCGGAGCATGTGGATGCGGACGTTGTCGTGCACTACGGCCGGTCGTGTCTGTCCCCGACAGCCAGGCTGCCGGTCATCTACGTTTTCACACAAAAGCCTCTGCCTCTCGAGCCCCTCGTTCGCGCATTCAAGGAGACCTACCCTGACCCTGAAACCAAGGCCATTCTGGCGGCCGATGTGACCTACTCGAACCATGTCCCGACCGTCTACTCGCGTCTCGTCGAGGAGGGCTACACCAACCTGTTCGCCACGGATATCGTCCACAACCCTTCCTCCGCTATCCCCAACCGCACCGTCCCGGAATCGGTCCAAGAGACTCCGGAGTCACTTTCTGACTGGCAACTCTTCCACATTTCCGACCCACCCACGGCCCTACTCCTGACCCTTGCGTCTCGCGTCGCCGCCATCCATATCTATCCCACCGATGACGTGACAAAGGAGATTGTGAAGCCGTTACCCGCGTCCACGGCGGCTGCCCTGCGTCGCCGGTATGCCATCTTGACCTCCCTCAACACCGTGCCCATCTTCGGCATCCTCGTCAACACGCTGAGCGTGAAGAACTACCTCCACATCGTGGAGCATGTGCGTGATCGGATTGCGGCCGCCGGAAAGAAGAGCTACCTGTTTGTGGTGGGCAAGCTCAACGCGGCCAAGGTGGCCAACTTCAGCGAGATCGGCGGATGGGTGGTCATCGGATGCTGGGAAAGCTCTCTGGTCGATAGCAAGGATTTCTGGAAGCCGGTGATTACTCCATCGGAGCTGGAGCTCACGCTCCAGGGCGATACCGAGCGGGTGTGGACCGGAGCCTGGCGGAGTGACTTCCAGAGCGTCCTCGATCAATCCAAGGCAGAGGCGGAGATTGCGGACCCCGCGGCGGACGAGGAAGGCGAGATGTCGGAGCCCGAGTCCGCACCACCGGAATTCGACCTGCGCACCGGTCGGTATGTCTCGCACTCCCGCCCCATGCGGAATTCTGCACCCCGCGTTTCCGCTTCCTCAGCAGAGGAGGCCATATCGGCCGCTAGTGGGCCCTCGGCCGCGCGCGCCTTGGCCAGGCGAGCCAAGGGCGATATTGCCATGATCGGCGGGACGTTCTCGCCCGGGGCGGAATTCCTGCAATCCCAGCGGACGTGGAAAGGTCTGGGAAGTGATTTTGACATTCAATACGAGGAAGATGCGCCGGATAGCACGCTGGTGGTGGAAGGGCGCAAGGGAATCGCAAGGGGGTATACAGTGGGCGAGGATGGTGATCGACACTAGGATAGATGATAGACTTCTTGTGCCCTGGGCGGTGCATCCAAATCAAGTTTTCTTGTTGACTGATTGTTGAACTGGGCCGGTAGACAATGCAGATCTGACTGGTCAAGCGTGCTTTCATGCCTTATTGCTCCTAGCGGCCCAAAAAGAGATGTTGGGTGAGGTAAGTTGCAAGTTGACTAGTCAAAGTCAGGTAATTTATGGAGTACCGGTAGTCTACGGATAGTTGAAGATTCAATAAAGGCGGGAGAGTTCAATCACTAAGTTACTGAAAGAATCATGACCATGCTGAGGGAATAATAGTTTCCCTATCCCTTTTTAGGCTTTTTTTTTCTCACCCTTCCTTTCATCCCTCCCCCTCCTCAAGGTATTATTATTTTTCTCTCTGATTATCATCCGACCTCAGGAAAATCCGCATCATCATGCCAGTCGATAGCATTTCCAATTCAGGCTCGTGATGGTCGAAGCGACCTATCACATGATGCTGGGCCGGGCAGATCCCGGCAGCCGTCGTTGGATTTTGTCCCAATCCCCAATCTGAGGTGAGTTGGCAAAGCCACACACACACACACACACACACCCACACATACCCACCACACCCACATTCACTCACTTACTCACTTATCCATCCCCATCACATCACCTCACCTCACCTCACCTAACTCTCGTTTACCTTCTTCTCTTTCCCCAATTCCCCCCTTTCCCCCACCCTAAAAACCCTGTTGCGGTCTTCTTCCTCGGTTTCTCTGCCTGCTTGGTCTTTTCTCCCTTGGTAGACCTCCCTCATATGATGTTCAGCCTTGGGATGTAAACCCGTCCTCCTTGCGCATAGTCGCCCTCTTTATTCCCCTTATGATGGGCGCTCATACCCGCATTCTCCGCCGTGCTCGCGATCCCGCGACACTCTACCCTCCGACTCAGTCCCGGACTCAATCCATTGACCAAGACAATCAACACATAGAAAAAGATCAAGCTGGAATTTCGGCCGCAGCGCCGGCGTGACAGACCGACAGACCGACATACTCCGGTAGCGCCCTCCGTATCACTCTCACTATCGACGATAACGATGGACGCGGAGAAGGACAACACCGCCGCCGACCCGAGCCAGCAAGTGCTGGTGGAATCCGCGCTGGAGCAGTCGGACGTCCACGCCCAACACTCTTTATCAACTTTCGAAAGAGTCCTCACCACTCATGCGCCCATCCTCGAATCCCTCCTTCTGCAGACCCCCACCGACTCTATTCTCTCGCTCTATCACACTTCCCGCTACCTCCGCTCCTTTCTCCGCTCATACCCAACAGCATGGAAGTATTTTTCGTTCCGGCTCTTTTATCCCTCAGGCACGCCTCCTCCGATTCGCGTAATCCTCACCGGTTCCTCGGAGGCAGTGGTGCCCCGTCAGTCGCGACCGTACGCTCTCGATCAGCTGCTGATGAATGTGGTGCTTCCGTTCAGCCCGTGTTTGCGCAGCCTGGAGTTGGATAACACGGCGGTCTCGGGTCAGATCCTTATCTCCACAGTCCTTCATGCTCGACGGGAGACACTGGAGCATCTCTCTGTTCGGGGGTGCAAGAACGTGTCACTCAAGTATCACATTATTCCTTACTTGACCATGTTTGGTCTCCAGTACGATGTGAACATGGAACGGAATATCGGTAGCTCTCCTGCCACCAAACACCTCGCTCTCAAAAGTCTCTACACCTACCGATGTCGCCACCACCGCCGTCGCCCCTACCTCACGTCATCGCTGTCGCGAAAGGATTCGGATTCCGAGCCCACACATGAGCTGGTCAACCTCTGTCACAAGCTGGGCATCTGGACGGATACGGCGTGGTGCTCGACTCCGGCCGGGCGGTGCTTCCGCAGAAGAGGGTACGTGTCGATGCGGGTTCCCCAGGGTTCGGCCGAGGTCTGGGTCGTCTTTGATCGGCTGTGGAGGTCGAAGAACTGGATCGGACCGATCGACTCGGGTAACAGGCCAGCTCAGCGTGACGGCAAGCTGTGGGAGCACAATGAAACGGGCTATTGCGGCGAACCGCTGGGGACGGGTGAGATTGGTAATCTCGGTGATGGCAAGATGAAACCGGCGCATCTGCGTCAAAGTCACGCGCAATTTGTCCAGAACATCCGCTGTGATAACTGCTGCGAAGTGATCCCGGAGCGTTGCGAGCAATGCAGCATCTTGATGCACTGCGTCGGATGTCGAAAGACTCTATGTGCTAGCTGTGCATACGATCGGCCTTACATTGCTGGTCATTTGGAGCCCTCCTCGACCAAGGAGTCGAATCCGTTCTGGTGGGCCCCTGGCGCAACAGTTTCGCCGTGTTCGATGCAAGACCCAGTGGAACTCACGGATCATGAGGCACTCACCACCAACCCCACCGCTCCCGCCGCTTATCCGGCCCTCAAGCTGCACTGGTGCTGCACGGAACCCATATTCTCCGGCGGAGGCGGGATCAGTATCGGCACTTCCAATCGGGACGTAGATCAAGTGCGCGCGGTGCCTTTACCCAGGGGACAAGGCTGGGAGGACCTCGAGATCTCGGCTCAGGAATGGAGCAAGACGTTCCCGCGCGACGCTTACGGGGACCCACGCAAGCCGGATTACACCCTCGAGACGGGACACATAGCCATGATGAAGTGGCTGCTGGGTCCGCCTAACCGACAACCCACGGCCTGTCCCCGGAACTTGTGCCAGGATTGCTACGACACGCCGCAGTGGAAGGTGCATTGCAAGAGCTGCTCGAAGCCGTTGTGCATTGAGCATGACCTCCGCGGTCTACGGCTGAGGATTTGTGGCTACCGGGACTTGACGCTGGAGAAGATGGCGATCCAAAACCACGCTGCATCAGGCTCTCGCGGCTACCTGGCCCCGCACATGGCCTATCCCCACTCCGTCCCTGAGTTCGAGTTACCGTTCCGGACCCAGCGGGTGATCGACTCCACGACGAGCAGCTTCACCGAGGACCACGGTGAGGGGGCCGGGGAGGTGCGCAGTCGCGCTCTGCCCGAACCCCCGGGACCGGCTTCGCTGATCCATCGCCGCTCCCGAAGTCTGTCCCTGTCCAACTCCAACCGATCGCGATCGTCCTCCCCATCTTCCATCTACTGTGACTCGCCGTCCGAGCAGCTCCGATGGCAAGGCTGCCAATCCTTCTTCTGCCCGCAGTACCGTGCCGTCGGCGACCAACGCCAGCGGTGCGCCAGCGTGCTCCGCGAATGCACGAGTTGCGCCGTCTACGTGTGCCAGGACTGCGTGAAGGCCAACCCACCCTGCAAATGCTCCTTCTGCGAAGTCAACTACATCTGCCCGAACTGCGTCAAGGTACGCGAACGCGAGGGGACCTGCCGCCGGTCGGCAGAGGAGAAGGCCCGCCGCGAGCAGAAGTGGAAGGAAGACATGCGTATGCTCGAGGGGATCCTAGAGGCGAAGCTGGCGAACGCGACCGCCGAGTATGCGGGCCAGTTCTTCGGGTTCTTGGAAGGTGGTGAAGTTAGTAGTAGCGCGGCGGCGGAGGTGGAATCCGATGTGCCGCATCCGGAACCGAGCTCGACGAGTTTCGACCCGAGCGACCTGCACGGCCTCCATGAAGTCGATCTTTTCGGAGAAGAGATTCTAACGGATAGTATGGAATGACGAAGTGATACGGGGATCCATTTCAATGGCGTTTAATGGGATATGTGGGAGCATTTTCAGCTTTCTTATTTTCCTTAGCATTTGTGCGAAACCAAAATCTTACATTCTTGGGTGGGATGGGGGGGAGAGATGGAATATGGTAATCTTGTTGTGCTGATGGCATCTTAGTGGGTATGCAGTCATGATGCGCAGGAAGCATGGAGACTGTTTAGTCGGGGGAGTGTTTGCCATGGGTACCTAGGGTAGGGTAGGGTAGGTTGCGAGGGATTCGGGACATACGCAAAGCATATAGGGCATAATGATCTTTGTGACACTGTCATATCTTCAACATTTAGCAGAGCCAATATTCCACTTTTTCTTGGACTTAATCGAGAGAGTATGGGACCTCTTGCGTACATATTCATCGAACGGTACGATAGTTAGTGTTAGTAGTACTTGCAGTACCAGACCAACAGCAACCAAACCCCAATAAGCTCTCGACCCAAAAAACCCAAGCCCCGCAACGGACGGAAGCTACTCGAACCGCCGCCGCAGCACCGCTCCACCATCGAATATTCCCCCGCAGCCCTCTTCTTTTTCTCCATCGTCCTCAACCCACTCCGATCCCGAGCAACTTATTGCGGTACAGTACGGACCTATCCTCCCATCCAAACCCTTAGTATAACGTCAACACAACACTAACACCCCCTCCCAAATATCCAGAAACCAGAAGACAATGTCGGAACAAGAACCCACCCCCGCCGACCTCGCCGCGCGCGAAGCCGAGGAACACGCCCGCAAGGCCGCCGAACAGGCCGAGCAGGCCCAGCTCCCCTACAAATGGACGCAGACCATCCGCGACGTCGAGGTCACGATCCCCGTGCCGGGCCACCTGCGCGGCCGCGATCTGGATGTCGTGCTCACCAAGACCAAGATCAAGGTGGCGATTCGGGGGCAGGAGGCTATTATTGAGGTTTGTCCTTTCGCCCCGTACCAGGGAGGGTTTATCTACAGTCCTGGCTCAGGGATTAGATGCTAACTAATTTCCCCCCACAAACGCAGGGCACCTTCCCCCACCCGATCGTCGTGGACGAAAGCTCGTGGACGCTGGAGACGACCGCGCACCCGCCGGGCAAGGAGGTGGCCGTGCACCTGGACAAGGTCAACAAGGTGGAGTGGTGGCCGCATGTGGTGACGGGGGCGCCCAAGATCGACGTCAGCAAGATCACGCCCGAGTCGTCCTCGCTGAGCGACCTGGACGGCGAGACGCGCGCCATGGTCGAGAAGATGATGTACGATCAGCGCCAGAAGGAGACCGGGGGCTTGACCAGCGATGAGCAGAAGAAGATGGATATTCTGAAGAAGTTCCAGGCCGAACATCCCGGTTAGTTTTGCCTTTCTTGGGGGGCACCTTGGATGTAGGTTGGGGGATAGTGGAGGGGGATTGTTTTGCTAATGGTTTGCAGAGATGGATTTCTCGAATGCGCAGATTGGTTGAGTTTGGGGTGAGGGGGGCGGAGTGAGGGTGATGTGTATGAAGTAATGAATGCATGCGTTGGTGATGTTTGAGTCTTGTGCGCTGTACGCTGTACTTCGTACTGTGGTTGCATTGGAGTTTTAAGAAATGATGCATAAGAATGATGGTGATGGATTGAATACGAGGGTGCTTCTTCGGGACTAGCGTGTCAGCCTTACTGTGTGTCGATGGCTTCCATCTCGGGCTTGTCTTCCCCTCATTGTTCCCTATCCCCATGTTGCAAGGTTTCTGAATCGAACCAGCAGGTTGATCAGGCTCAGCTATTCTTAGTCATAGTCATGATCAATCACCATGTCTCTCCCCGCAGGTCAGGGAATCCTCCACCTCCAACTCCCCTCCTCCCAACCGGAACGCATCTATCATGCCCGCCGCGCGCATCGGAAATCCCGCAATGGATGCTCCAAGTGTAAACAACGCCGAGTCAAGGTACACCAACCCCTCTTTGCCCAGTACCAGCCTTTCTCTAAGGATCGCAGTGTGACGAATCGAAACCCTACTGCCTCCGCTGCCAGAAGCTCAACCTGGACTGTAGCTATGAACCCAGCAGCAGCAGCAGCAGCAGCAGCAGCACGGACCCCGAGAAAAGAATGACCCGGTTCCTGACCAGCTCGCCGGACTCCAGAGCATACAATCTAGCCCAAAATGCCGTAGGCACCCAGCTCCACGACCTCCTGCAGCTACCGCAGGGAGCCTCGCCCTCTATCCGCGTCGAGGCCCTGCATCACTTTTATGGTCTCTCCGACCCGGCCCTCGGGCCACAAGCCCCGCAAGCCGAGTACCAAAGACGGGTGATCCAGCTCGGATTCGAGGTACGAGCCTCTCCCCCTACCCTACCTATCCACCCTCTTGCCCTATCCCCTGCACCCCCCGCTTTCCCCAGACTAACCAAGCCCACCCCCAATCGCTAAACAATGGGTATTAACAGTCCCCCTACCTAATGCACGCGATTATTGCCTTCGCAATCTCCCACCTCCGCTACACAACCCCCACCAAACACCGCCCCTACGCCCTGACCGAAACCTACCACTGGCAACAAGCCATCACGCAGTACTTACAGCAACTGTCCACCATCGGCCCGCATAACATGGACGGCCTTTTCGGGGCGTGCCTGCTCCTAACGGTGCGCTCCTTCGAACTCGACCGCTACGACCCGCACGGCTCCTTTGTTTTCGCCACATCCCCGAAACAAACCGCCACCGCGCTGACCTGGCTCACCCTGCAGGTGGGGCTGCGGCGGCTGCTGGAGGCCACCGTGCCCTGGCAGCGGGGGAGTATGTGGTGGGAGGTGTTCATGGCGTCCGCGGCGCAGTATCGCGGGGTGTTTGACGTCGACGAGAGAAATGTTTCTGAAAAGGTGGCGGCGGGGTGGGGGCTCGATCCCGGGCTGGCGGATCTCTGCGGCATCCATGCGGGCAGTACCCCCGCCGATAATGTGTATTATGAGCCGGTGCGGATGCTGAGTGGGTTGCTGCACCTGCCCAGGGGCATTCGGAGCTTCGGGGCGTATACCGGCTGGATGGGGCGGTTGGAGCCGGCGTTTTTTGAGAGGTTGGTCTGCAAGGAGGTTGCGGCGTTGGTGGTGCTGCGGCGGTGGTTGGAGTTGTTGGGGAGTGTGGATCTGTGGTGGATTGGGGTGAGGGTTAGGTCGGAGGTGCAGGCCATTAATTGGTTTCTTGGGGGAGGTTGAGTGCGTTGTTGATTGGGGGTTCATGGTCGGTCGATAGGGATAGGCTTGTTGATGTGTTCAGATGTGAGACATGGGAAGGGAGAGGGAAGAGGACGGAGGACGTCTCGGGTGACTTTGGGGCTTCTATTTGCTTGTTGCACGGCTGCATACACTGCGCGGTATATCTGCATCTGCATTCTCCGAATAGCCTGCCAAGTTCAAGGCTAGACCGCTCTACCCAGAGGCATAGGGAACGCCGAGGTTGTCTAGGCCCAGTCGACGGCCTTCAGACAACCTTGAGGTTTAATCTACAAGAATGTTGAAGGGGGTGCATCACCCACCCAGCTAAGAATGCGGGGGCACTGGATAGATCGTCAGCCTCAGACTGGCTACTCCCACCGTTTTGGACCCTTCCTTGTCACTGACAGACTACCACAAAAGACATGCGTGATATGTCTTAGCCCTTATCACCTGCGTGGCGGGTAAATCATTGAGGCATTATTCTCCTGCAGGGGGGAAGATGGGCTCGACCGCTTCCATACCCTCTCAAGCTTTATGATATTTGATGCTGCACACCCCCATTCATTCCCACCACACACCAAGGAAATGTCTAACCCCAAAACCCAACTGGGCCTCTCCCACTGGGAGAGCACAGTCACCACCGACTTGACAACCCCCTGTGAGGACACCGAAACTGACAAGCCATGGCAATGCTCGGTGGAGGCCGCCAAGGCTGCAAACGCCAGGGAGCACGCGATGTCCGTCACGCAGGCACTGAAGCTCTTCCCGTGGGCCGTCGTGTGGTCGCTCGTCCCCTCCATCGCCATCGTTATGGAGGGCTACGACACCATCCTCATCACCAGTTTCTTCGGCTACCCGGCCTTCCGGACGCAGTTCGGCGAGGAACACCCTGGCAAGGGATATCAGGTCGCCGGATCCTGGCAGTCAGCCCTCGGAGCGGCAGGGAACCTGGGGTGTATGATCGGCGCACTGATCAATGGCTATCTGATCGAGCGGTGGGGCTTCAAGCGGGTCTTTCTGCTGGCCCAGGTGCTGATGGGGGCTTTCATCTTCATTCCGTTTTTCGGCGACACCGCCGGAGTGCAAGTGGCGGGGCAGATTCTCTGTGGGTAGGTGATTTCTCACCTTTGGCTTCTTGCAATGGGGCTGTGTGGTTCGGCCGAGCTGATCATTCTGCGGTAGACTCCCGTGGGGCATCTTTGCGACCCTTGGGCCGGCGTACAGTTCGGAGCTGTGTCCGATGGTGCTGCGGCCGTATCTGACGGCCTTCGTGAACGTGTCGTTCGTCATCGGCCAGCTGATCAGCGCCGGCGTGCTGCAGGGGCTGATCGATCTCCACAGCCAATGGTCGTATCGCATCCCCTTTGCCCTGCAGTGGGTGTGGCCGGTCCCGTTGTTCGTCTGCGGCTGTTTCATGCCCGAATCCCCGTGGTGGCACGTCCGGCGGGGCCAGTATGATGCCGCCATGCAGATCGTCAACCGGCTCCTGGCCGACCCCGACACCGAAACCGCTCACCAGACCGTTGCGATGATGGTGTACACCAACCACTTGGAAAAAGAGATCAAGGAAGGGTCCTACCTGGACTGCTTCCGCGGGCCCAACGCCCGGCGCACGGAGATCGCCTGCATGGCGCTGGCCGGCCAGGTGTTCACCGGGCTGGTGTTTGCGTACTCGCCGACCTACTTCTTCGAGCAGGCGGGCCTGAGCGACGACGAGTCGTACAAGCTCGGCCTCGGCGGCGCGGGGCTGGCCTTCGTGGGCACGACGGCGTCGGGCCTCGCCATGCATTTCTTCGGACGGCGCACGATGTATGTGGGCGGCATGGGGCTGATGAGCGTCTATCTTCTGGTGATCGGATGCCTGACGCCGGCAACGACCACCAGCAGCCCGCCGGCGGCGGCGCTCTGGACCCAGTCCGTCCTCTGCATCGTCTGGATTTTCACCTTCTCGATGACGGTGGGCCCGATCGCGTGGGTGATCCCGCCCGAGGTCTCGTCCACGCGGCTGCGGTCGAAGACGGTGGTCCTGGCCCGGAATTCTTACTACATTGCGTGCGTGGTGGCCAATGGGCTGGAGCCGTCGATGGTGAACCCCACGGCCTGGAATTGGCGGGGATACACGGGGTTCTTCTGGTTTGGGACGGCTTTCTTGACGTTTCTGTGGAGTTACTTCCGGCTGCCGGAGACCAAGGGACGTACTTATGAGGAATTGGACGTCATGTTTGCCCGAGAAGTGCCGACGCGGCAGTTTGGGCAGTATGAAGTGGATGCGTATGAGGGGGAGGATTCCGGGGGTGGTGTTGCTTAGCTTAGCGTAGGTGTTAGCGCTGCCAACTGGCAAGGCTGGAAGTGGGACGAAACTGCGGGACACAGACCAATCAGCAGTGCGGGGAATCTGGATGCCTGGGATTTGAGGCTGAGGCTGTGTCAGCCAGCCTTTTGACTTCTTGATTTGACTGTCTGTCTTCCCATCAACCAGTCGAGGTGACACCGTGGACTGAGTTACTACTTAGTACCTACCTCGATTGTTTACGTTTACTTGTTGTGATCTGTTCAACTCGGTCGATTATATACCTGTCCAACTTACTCAGTCTCACCCCCGATTCCCCATATACTGTCCTCCTCTCCCTCTCTATCGATAAGTTGGCACTTATCATCTTACCCACCGATAACGCGATAGCCCACCACCTGCACACCTGCTGGAATCACCATCAATGTCCCCCCTCAGCGCCATCACCAGCTGGCTCTGCTGCATCCCAAGCCCAGATCCTAATCGTCCACCTCCACCTCCACCTCCACCTCCACCATCGAACCACTACCGCGAAAACAACGAAGGCTACCTCCCACCCACCCCACCCCTCCCCGCCTACACCCCCCATCCACACACCCCAACCGAAAAGACCCTCGCCCTGCACCCTCGCCCATCCTCGTCATCATCATCATCATCATCAACCTCAACCTCCTGGAACGAGAAATCCGGTGCAGCAACCACATCGTCCCCCGCACCCGCACCCGAAGCAACAGAAACCACAACTCCCTA